AAAAATCCCGCAGGGTACGTGTGTGCTTCATTTTACAGCATTTCTTTTTTTTTTACACACTGATACACAGTCAAGAAAGGGAAGCTCAAAGACTACTGCCTCATGCTGTTAGCATTCTCTCTCGACACAGCCTGCTCAATTTACACCTCCTCATATCAGAAGAAAGACTGAGGTCTCGCACTCCTCCAATACGTGGCATGTGCTAATTTATTTTTTAGCTGGGGCATTGTGTATGATAGTGCAGTGTTTAGCTGTGATTACAAATTGGATCTTTTGTCACTTAGATAGGAAAGATTGATTTCAGCCCTGTTTTGTTTGCCGTGTGAAGTTTGACCTGTCAAAAACTGGTATTGTACAATACCTAATATGTATTAATCAAAATAATACATTATTTGAACAATGTTTTAAGATTGTGGTACTATATTTACATAGATCATGCTCACAATTATTGCACTACTCTCCAAATTGTGATTTATATATTTTGTATAGATGCCCTGGTACACTAAGTACAAACTACAGGGCTAGCTGTGAAGAAACTGCCTGGTTTACTGCCTGCTGCCCCCAGAGGTGTGCATATCAATTGTATGGTCATTTCTAGGTTACGTTGAGTGCCAGGTCATATGAGCAGCACTGTTAAATTTACTATTCAGCTTTTCCAACTAAATTGATTAGTCATTTTTGTCAGTGGTACCTGTCAACACGGGAAATAGATGTTTTCCTTATTTTTATATTTTATTTTTAAAATTATAAATTTAAAAAATAATACAAACTCAATCAATATATCTGTGAATGTGAGTTTTAGATTATGAAGTAAAACTGCAGCATTAAAAATATATGAGCACTGGTGAACATTAAGTGAAATGTTTTCTTCCAGTTGCAGCTTAATTCTACTATTATGAATTGTAAAACCTAAATCAGAGAATCAAAGAAGTCCCATCTATAAAGAACTTAGTTTCCCATCACTTTCTGCCTCTGGGTCTTATAAGAAAATAATGGTCACTGATTAAAATAAAATAAAAACAGCTTTTTCTTCACTGAATCATCCTTCGGGGATTTTACTGGTTCCCATTGTGATCTATTGATGGAATCAATTGACCTGTTGTTCAGTTGTTCCAGCAATTTACTGAAGGTTAAGAAATACTAAGAAATACAGTTAATTTACTGATTTTTTCTAGGAGTTTGGCACTCCTGTCTGGAGAGTTTCTGACCTGTACAAAAGTCTTCACTTTTGCAATTTAATGTATCAAGACCAGTATACTGAGTCACTGGACAAGAAGAAACACACTTAAATAATCACAGGACATACAATTGTGCAAGACAATGTTTTTCATAGTTCTTCTGCCAAACGTCATCCACCACATTCCAAAGAAACCATACTGTCGCACTTCAGGCACACAGCTGCTACAGTTTTCAGATAATATTTTATAAAGCCTTTAAAAACAATTGTTAATTTCAACAGAAATCTCAATGATTAGTTCAATAGAGTGACTATGATCTCAGATAGATAAGAATAGCAGATGACAGTGCAGTTGTTCAGGATTGGAATTGTCCACATCACAATTAACATAAACTGCACTAATTTGGGGCAGCATGGTGGCACAGTTTGTTAGCATTGCTGCCTTGAATTCAGTTCCAGATCACCTCCCTCACAACCCTATATTGGATAAAGCAGTTAGAAAATGGATGGATAGACTACCTGGTAATGCTGATTGGCATGTCCTGTTTATTTGCCCACAGACTCTGTGAAAGACTCCAATGGGCGGGTGCTTGTGCACTGCCAGGCAGGGATCTCACGCTCTGCCACCATCTGCCTGGCATACCTGATGAAGAAGAAACGCGTCAAGCTGGAGGAGGCCTTTGAGTTTGTCAAGCAGCGGCGCAGCATCATCTCACCCAACTTCAGCTTCATGGGGCAGCTGCTGCAGTTCGAGTCGCAGGTCCTCGCCACCTCCTGCTCCGTGGAGGCGGCCAGCCCCTCGGCGGGCAGGGGCAAGTCCTCAACTCCCACCTCTCCGTTCGTCTTCAGCTTCCCTGTATCAGTGGCAGTGCACACCCAGGCCAGCAGCCTCACGTACTTACAGAGCCCCATCACCACCTCCCCCAGCTGCTGATGGGGAATAAGAACAAGTGTTGCTTGACCCGCCAAAGACTCAAAGAACTAGGCCTTCAGGACTGTGGAATGTTCGAGCTGCGTGTGACGACGAGCAGAGTGACCGCGTCTGACTGCTGAGTCTGCGGTCAAGCATCCTTCATTGGAAGGAGGTGGGCAAAGATCCTAGGAAACTGAGGACCAGTCATTCTAGTCAGCTTGAGAAAGGAGAAGTGCTACATGAAGTTTGACGGTATCCACCTGCGTGAACCTGGCATTTTGTCTTTGACTTGGTGTTCAAGCCATTCTCTGCTTCTGAACTTTATGTATTTATTTTACATGGAAGATGGTCACTTATTGTGGGCTGAATGCATTTAAAAAACACAAAGTGAAGTAAAAAATGTAATTTAATTTCTTTCCAGTTCCAAATCGAAGGGACACATATAATTTATTAAAGAAAGCGTTAATTTATTTTTAAAAGCAGACTAACTATTAATCACACATTTCATTTAAAAGGACTTTTCACACTCCTCAGAAAAGTAAAATGGTAACATCCTCATTTAACTAATTAATTGTACTTCCTTTTCAATACCAAAGACATGCCATTATTTCCATGTGTTTATACAAAGTACTGGATTTTGGAGTCTCTAATGAAAATAACTTCAGAATGAAACTTTGCTTTATAAAACAGCATAAAGAAGAAAAAGTTCAAGCAGTCAAGCACACTTTATGTAGCACACAATTAAAACCAAGCCTGACAGGTTTTGTGCAAACCGCTTCTTTCATTTGCTTTTCATTGAATATTGAAACTGGAAAGAAAATTAAGTATTGGCGCTTTGCACTGGTGAATTTTGATGACGGTGTGAAATTTAATGTCACTAGTTGGTGCCAAATACAGAGTAAGAAGTGTGCCATCTCTCTAAAATACAGAATGCTGTGCACACCAATGGTTTTCAATGGTAATCTAATAGCAGCACAGAAAAAAAAACTACAGTGCTTCCTAAAATTGTCTGGCCCTGTGTGAAATGTTTTTATCTCCTGTCAGTGCCTTGTTTAAGAAGGTACCTAAAGAGTTCCTAGGGCCAGATCTGTATTTTGAGATGTTTTAAGCAGGTTGCCATTGATAAATACAAGAACATAACAGTGCCCCATGCATGGAGCCCTCACACAAAACAAAGTCGCATTTGAAACTTTCTGAACTGCAATACAGACTTTAATGAAGATTTTCTACTTTGTTTTAAAACTTTTTTCCCCCCAAACAAAAAAAAAACATTGTTTTTTCCCCATGACAGAACACGAGAGGTGTACTTTTCCAAGTGTTTTCTAATGTGTCAATGTTTTTTCATACCTCATATATGAAGTAAAGAGACTTGAAGACTTTTGCTTTCAGCCTTATTAAGGTTTTTAACAAGACTGATCAAGAACTTTTCCTGGTCCAACTGACACTGCAGTGGTTGCAATAGCTGTGTTTAAAATGATGTTAGAATATTTGGAGAACCACGGTCTTTTTGTATCTAAAAAAAATCGTACCACTCTAAACAAAAACATACTACTAGTATTTTTTTAAAATGCAAGCAAGTGAGGACTCCCTCCCAAAAACAATAACAAATACTTGTGCGTGATGTAAAACTTTGGGTAAAAAATCCTTTTGAATTTGCACAGATAACCTGCAGGGCTCTTTCTGGAATCTTGTATTTCATATCTTTTCTTGCAAAAATCTATAAAAAAAAACAAAGCAAGGGTGGCACAAGCGCAATTCATGGGCTAGTGACAAATCTCGGAGTTGTGAATTGAATGGCAGGGAGAGCCCAAACAAACAATGTCGTATTTGACTGTTGTTTTATTGGGCCTCACATTTCAACTAACATAACCTTGTATCCTGTAGCCTTTTTAAGGGTAATACATGCTTACGACAACGTTCAAAGGTAAAAGTACTGGGTAGAAAAAGCTTGACAAACTTTTTTTTGGGTAAAAACATCCTCATTCTACTGCTCATATTTGTCATACAAATATGACATTTTACCAGATCTATAAGAGAGAAAAATATGTTGTCTGGGTGGGTTTCTACAATCTCAGTATAGGAAGGAAGAAAGCAAAACTGGAAGCCAAGGTTGGTGGTTGGGTGACTTTGTTTTCATTCGCTTCAGTCCATGTAAATGGCAACATTCCCGGTAGGATCATTTCCCGGGCAACGATTCAAAATTAAAGTGATAGCGTGGCTCATACCTAATCTCTTTTCGCACCTAAAAAAAGAATCTGAACTGAGGTCAATGCTATCCATAGTAGCTACAAAATGTGATGGGGGTTTGCCCAGGAAGCTCAGTAGAGGTAGGAGGATTTGTCTAGTGTCTGGAAAACAAAAATGCACAGTGCTGTCTATGAATCTATTTCATATAGAACATTTGCCATTCAGACAAATAAGGTAATCCCTAAAAACAGAGGACCATTCATCACATTCAAATCAGCTTCAGAAGTATTAAAATGGTTTAGAGAGGAGATAAGTGACACAGAGAGTGATATCTATTCCTGAGATGGATCTTTTAGATTTTTAAAGAGACACAGCTCTGTACAAAAACTGTTTAATAACTAAAATGCACTAGTCATTGCCTTGCAGTGAACAGAATGACTACAGAGCCTGGGAGGACTTGTAAATATTAGCCAAAAAATGATGAATCGTTGTCAATGGTGTGTCTTTTGCCTCTGGATCAAGGAAAAGCTCCTGGTCATTGATGCTAAAACACAGAGGAGGTTACTTTGTCAAGAATGTGGGCACCTTTTTTAGAGCACTTTTAAAGTGATGCAATACTGTAGTAAAATGTATGTTTAATTTGCACTGCGTGATTGTCATTTCTATTAAGAAGAATAGACAACTTTTTTACACCCATTTGTTAAGTGTTTTAGTCTCAATGATAAAACAAGATGTACAATTGTTAATAATTACAGAACAATGCAATACTTTATACTTGTCTGTAGTGAAATTTTAGTTATTGTCAGACTTCTCATGGCAATATTATTTGTATCAATACAGTTTTCACTTCCCCCCATTTCGTCCTATGGTATGTTTTTATTTCTGGAAATGTTTATGAAATATGAATTAATTCTCATAAACTAACAGTCTGAAGCCTTTCTATTAATAGTATGTATAGCACTAAAAACAGCCCTTAGAGTGGGGAATGAGCAAAGCACGGTGTTCTGTCACACACTGATCCAGACACATTGCACAGCTGACTGTTTCAAGCCTCTAGTGATTACACAGTGTTCCGATGTGTATGAACATGGAAGATATCTGGAAACAGAAGTGTTATCTGTTACATGACGCTGTGACCTAATACCTCATAGAACGTCGAGCAGACACAAAGTCTTTAGCTTATACTATAGTTTCATAGTACACACAATGCAGAAAATTGACACTATACTCTATCCGTACAGTATCATTCTGATCAGTATTGGGGCCCAGGTTATAATCATTTTCTTGTGTTTTTATGGTATCAAAATAAGCCATTTAATCTCTGAAAGGAAATACAATTCTTACAAGGAATACAAGTGGAAGTAGCAGTTTAATTACCACACTGGTGAGAGGGAAAATGTCTACAGTAAAGAGATCTCTGCTCCTATTGAGTGTCTCTGAACTGAGTAACAGTTGGCAGGGGAAGGCTGAAATGTCTGTGTAACACTGACCTCTTGTGGTAGTTGTCATGCCTGCATAACTGGCTTGCATCATTGGAGAGGAATCTGCTGGCTGACTGACAGATACAGTTTAAACTGTAATTTTATTTTTCTACAGTTTCATTGTATCTCAAACAGCAACACAATTACAATCGGTAATACAAAGAATATTGAGATTTTAAATAAGATTCAAGAACTTCTACAATCATTCTGCATAAACTGATATCTGCAACCAACCAACAAATCTGATTTCTGTGAAATTATGGAAGAAATAACGAGAGGGAAGAACATCCCCTGAAGTAAATAGAAAGGTCAAGCACATGACAGAATGCAAATGATTGTAGCTTGTTTTAACTGTTATTTAGAGAAGTCACTGGTAGCAAATGGAGGGACCTGACCAAAGGAACAGCATGTTCCAAAATATAGGTATGAATTGCTCTATTCTGTGCAACCTAGAGCTCATTGATCTTATTTCTAACCAGAGCACCTGACAGGGTGATCAAAGAGGTCAAAAAGTCCCGGGATTAGAGTCTCTCTGAGCATCTTTCCATCTCTAGCAATAAAACACCATTCTATATAAGTGGTGAATAAAATAAAAAACCTCACAGCCCTGAAGGACGAGCTGATAGAAATCCACCGCTTTTTGGAATCACAGCAGACATTATACTCTCTGAGGACGTTAGCTTATGTGTTTCTCTACTTGCAGCCAGGGACACCGAAGTTGGCTGAGCTACAATATTTCCAGCAGATTTCCAGCAGAGCCATGCAGACTGGAAGGAGCTCCTCATTTTTGCAACCTACTCTGAGACGGCAGTTATGCTGACAAGATCAAGACTGAGTAATTTAAACAGAACTAGACCAGCACCTTGTATGCTGGTCATTCAGAGCACGCTGTCCATGAAGAAAATGGACCAGCAGAAAGGATTTCTATTTCCCCTAAAGAATACCAACACCTGGCTAATCTTCCAACTAATTTACATTTACTGGCCTGTACTTGCATAGAAATGAAACTGCAATCTTCCAAGGACATAAATAGAACCCTAATGTGAATCTGACCGGTCTAATGCATAAACCAGTATCCTATCCTGTACATCAGAATTACAGAATTACAAATACAGAAACAAAGAGGAAAGTGGATTTACAATGCAAATTCTACATTATTACAGATTAATATTTTTGTGTAAAATTGAGATGCCACCCTAGAATAGAATTATTCTGACAAGCTGCAATGTCACTGGTTGTCTATCGATGTACCACAATGCAGACATGTCACCAGCAGACATTTTGATCTGTTTTTCTTGGCTCAGTCACATTTATTTTTGGGAAGCAGAAGACTGGCAGAGCTGTTCCCCATCATACCTACCCTCTGAGTTTTAGAGTCTATCGCCTTGCACCTGCAGCCCAGAAAGAGAGATGTTTTCACCCCGCACATAAAAAGCACCATTCCTTTTATAATACTCATTTTAACCATTAAATGTCATGAAGTCATTTATGACATACTTTCTGTGTGGTTGTTTACAACATGGCCTTAACTTTACTTCTTAGTCAGATGACAGAGCGCATAGATGTTAATATAGCAACAGACATTTTTCAATGGCAGAAGTAAGGATTGAACTGAGAAGCTATTCAAAGCTAGCCCTTGTCCCAGACTCCCAGAACCTACCTCCTGCAGCAACTGGGACAAAATCAAAAACAGACCTACTGACATTGACACAATACCGTGATGTAAATAGGAAAGCAGGTCAAAACAAAATTCCTAACATCACAGCAGGATGGAAGTGACTGATGACAGATCATCATGCTGTGAGCGTGCTCTGAGGTTGCTTGGCACCAGTGCCTCCGGCCAAAGTTATTAGTTTGTCATTCAAACAGGATAAGGCATTTGCAATGTAGTCTGTGACTCATAACAAAACATGTGTCACCTATGAATTTACAGAATCATGATGTACAGTGGTAAACAAGAAGTTATATGAAATGAAACACTAAATACAGTCGAACTGATCATAGTTACATTTCAGGTCTCACCAAGCACAACATTTTAAATTTGATGTCATCTGTGAAACCTGGGTATCACACCTGAAGAAAGATGATTTAAGACTAGCAATGATCTTCTCTTGCCAGAAGACTGATCTTTGAATTTATGCAAATAATTTAGGTGACTCAGTTTTTAGAAACTGACCAGTAATGAATGAAATGCTTCACCATTGGGGACTTGCAAAACCACACATGTAAATTCCAACCAGATTTCAGTTTGATAAAAGTGCTCTGGGCAGAAAATCCATTTGAATGTTATCTGAATGTTGAATGTTTACTATGGAAGACACAGTAATCACTTCTGTCTTCCCACAAAATACTGCAGCCATTTGGTTTCATCATTGAAGCTGCCCCTACAGCTGGAGTTAAAGAAGTCATTCTTATTTTCACACCATTTTGAGTAAAAGACAACACGCAAATCTGTCCACATTTGGCAAAAGTTCTGTTTGTCTTATAAAATTTTTAAAATGTTCTTATAACCCATTTTCTTGGGACTTCAGTCTCTTTCTAACCCATGAAATATTTTAACTGAACTGCACAAGCAAGTTCTAAGGAGCTATAAGGTTCATTTCTAATGCTTTGATAACTTTGTCTTCAGGGCTTTGCCAGATGTTAGTTGTTGAATGTGATATAGGGAGTGAAGTTCCTGCCTTAAACACTCTGCCTTCTAGTGATCATTAAATTTCTACTGAAAGTTGCTGGTCGCTGTCAAATATTTGTTTTTTTTAAACATGTTGTAACTAGCATTTACATTAGAATCTTGTCCAGCATATCTTTTGAACATGTTTTAATTTGTTGGAAGAATCACAGACAAAAGCAGGACAACATATAGCAAACTTTACACATTTTAAAATTATTTTGAAAGGCATTAAACTCACACCTGGATAGCAATTGGTATACATACAGTATGAACCCATTGCTCTGTATTTCTCTCAATCTCTAGTCACATGATTTTTTCTTTAAACCTTAAAACATCTTAACACCTGCCCAAAGGTTTAAATTTTTTTTACAGTTATTTCCCCCTATGACTTTAACTCAATTATAAGACTAGGAAAACGTGAATTACTTTTTCCTGTAATGTTTCAGAATGTGCAACTTGCATATAGATAAATCCAAGGATTAAAACCTGTCCATAAGAATATGCATATACTGTCTGTGCAAAAATGAAAGAGGCTGTCCTTTAATGACTTGTAGACAATCATGTCTGAGAATTTAACAAATCTAAAAAACAGCATTATTTCACTACTATAAATCACCATAGTAGAAAGCTCTTTTTTGTAGTGATGTGTTGCCCCCTAGTGGGAGCTTTGGACAATCGCCGCACACTACTGCAATGAAATTTCTCCAACTGAAAATACCAAGAGGTCTTTTATAGAAAAAAAAAAGTCAAAACGTTAGAGCAGTTGCAATGATGCAGCAGGGCAGCTGGACACATCGAGGACATATAAGGCAGAGATCACTGACCTGGTAAGACACCTGGAACGCGGAAGAACAAAAGAACGAAGGATCAAATCCCTGCTCTGCTCAGTGTATGATGTACTGCCTATGGTAACCAACCTCCATATATGGTGGCTGGTAGAGAGCACAATGTGTGGAAGGGCTGCTAATCTGGACATGTTTGTGAGATGGGAGATTTAGTTGGGGACATGACCAGATATTGACACAGCCGGTAAGCAGAGTAGAGATTGGAAAGAGGAAGCCAAAACAACTAATCCAGGCCCCTTGTTTCTCCTCCCTTTGTTAGATCAGGAGAGTGTGTGGTAAAGGCAACAAAGGCCAAGGGGATCCTCGCAAGAGCAAATGACTGGGAAACATGGGCAGACCTATTTCCAGAGGAAATAGCCAACATAGGCTTCCTTTGGTCTGGAATGAGGCACAAAGCAGATGGTTTTCATTGAAATGACAGTGCCCTGGGAGGAGTGGTACTTCCTGAGCTTTCACTCATGTTTCTCCTCTATCCAGTCCCTCATCCTGGAGTATCAGCAAAATAGATGGAGAGCATGGAATCTCCCAGCTGAAGGCAGCTGTAGGGGGTTTGCAGTGCAGTCGCTTTGGAGAGGCATGGGGCTGTCTGGTATCAAGGAAAAGGTTAGTGGCAAAAGTAACCAAGAAGAGGCAGAATCCAGATGGATACGGATTAAAATGAATGAGCAGTAGCAAACTAAAGCAGGCTGCAGGGAAATAGTTCTGTGCTGAGCGGCTTACTGAGGGGGTGGTCCCAGGACACTAGGTTCTGCTAACGAGCTCCCCTGAAGTGTTGTGGTTTGACGAAACACTGGTGAGGAGGGGTACCCACTTGAGGATCCGAGGAAGACCCCCACTTTGCTTTGACAGTTAAAAGATTAAAGCTAAAAGCAAAGGAAGCAATTCTGATGCCATCAGGTTTTGAAATACACAGGAAAAGGAGTACCTGTCAAGATTCTCAGTAGCAATGGTCCCATCATATTCAAGATACACTATGTGGCACTTTTTTACTTGCCATTTAGAAGGGAGGCTCCAGGAGCAATAAGTACTTCCAGAAACATTTCCAGTGGCTGGAATGACAACCAACAATGGGAAACATTACTAACAGGCAGATGGCAGATACCTGAAATACTGTATATTCAGTTAGTAGTAGTTCAGGTGGGTAGCTGCGTCAGCGGCAAAGGAACAAGTTATAGGTTTATTCCATGCTGAAAAAAAGAAGAAAGAGAACACAACGTTTCGGCCGTGGAGTCTTCTTCAGGTGTTGTGTTCTCTTTCTTCTTTTTTTCAGCATGGAATAAACCTATAACTTGTTCCTTATTCAGTTAGTATCCTATCTGGGACTTAGGCCTAGATCATGGTGAGGCCCAAACGTTCTGGACAGAAGATTTAGGGAGGCAACTACAGATGTGGTTAACAATGAATATCTGAACTTTTGACCTATCACACACTCGTTTTCTATTAATAAACTATTCTCCACAAATGTAATCAATTTTTTACCTGTATTCAGTGGAGTGTAATGATTTTTAAAGGTTTTTGCATTTCATCCACAAAGTCTTCACTGCAATGTAGTGAAAAGTATTCACTGCTGCCAAGCTCAGGAAGATTCAGTATTAACAACTATAGTGACAGTCACGTTTTAATTTTCTGGGATACAATTCGGCTTGCCACAAACCTCACCAGGAAGCTTTCACCCATTGAACAAAAGGACCGATTGTAGATGCTTGCTCTGCGGGAAGGTTTCCTCCAGGGATGAAGCTTCATGACAGACTTTAGAGCCAAGCAGAAAACTGTCATGAGAATTAATTAGCTCGTTCAGGTGTTTAATGACAACTTACCACACGACAAAAATGACAAAAAAGGAAGGAAAATGTTCTTCTTCCTCCATGTTACCTTTCGGTGTCAGAGACTCTGCTCAGATTCCAAAGAATCCTTTGTATTTTCTGACCTCTGGGAGGTACCAGTTAATAAACCTTGATTCCTTTTCGAATTTCACAAGCTTTGTTCTATAGTGAAATGTAATTGATTGGGATGGGCAGAATGAGATTTTTTTCAAAAACACCCTAACGAGCATCCAGTCAAAAAGGCCATTGATTTAAGTGCTGGTAACATAGTTACCCAGATACTTCGCAATGTTTTCTCTACCTTTTTAGAAATAAAATGAATTTCTTGAGATCCATGTTTAAATAAAAGGACATCCTTAGATGTTTTCAGTTAATGCACGTTTTGTAACTAACTTGTTTTGTTACAGTGAAGAAAACCTTTCTAAAGTAAGGTGCTATGTCCAAAAAGCTATTAAAATACTGTAAATTACAGAACTACATAATGTACTGTATCTTTGCAAAGCGAAACCGAATTAAATTAGATTGTGTTCAGGAAAAAAAGATTTTTTTTTCTTCTCACACAGTCTAAAGGAACAAATCCACTTGAAAATAAAGCAAGACAGAAAATGCAGTGCCATGTGAAATTTTATTAAGACTGTTTTACAAGGTTGAGGAGTGTTAAAGTAGTCTTCAGATCCCAATTTTTTTCTGTTAATAGACGATTTATTTTCGGTATTTAAAAAAAGGACAGCTATTACAATCAGGCTGCTAAGGAAAGAAGTGTGTTCTTGTTAATCGGGAGAGGGTGCACAGAAGCAGCAGCGCCCAGCTGATAATGTTCGACCCAAACCCTTCAGACAAGTAAGGGACAGTTAAGAAAGGCAGGGGAAAGCCACTACCTGCACTTTGTGTTATGCCTACCTGAAATGCAGGACATAGGAGGAGAGAAGAAAGGAAGCCTTGAAGACTGGGACAGTATTTGAGTCTTGCCTTGTGATAGAATGCATATCCATCTAATATACATCCATACAAGGTCATGTCCTGTTGGTGGCATTCTCAGGCTCTGAATGAATGAGAAATGTTCTGTTCCCAACCATTCCCATTGATTACCTATTCACTTTCACCTGGACAAAGACCATACCTCGGTAAGCTCCCGTTTGTCCTAATCGAAGGCAGGACAAGGCTTCTATGTCTAGAGAAAAAGGTCCGGGAAATCATCTCCAGGTCAGCATTGCCGTGTTAAACGTGTTGAACACTTTTACATCAAAAGTGATTTTTTAAAATAAAAAAAGAATACTGAACAATCCTGAAAACATTATCTTTAGAGAGGCACATCATCCTACAATTAATGTTTATTCAAAACTAAAAATAAAACAGGACAGCTTACGGTAAGGATGAAGTTGCCCCCTCAGCAAAAGAAAAAGGTCCAGATCAAAACTGACTTCATTTACAGTACTAGTAAAACCCAACACCTTACCAGTAAACAACATCAAAAGCTTTACAGGGCACTGTCATTTAAACAACCTGTACATTAATGAACATTATCTTTAATAACATGAATTTTTTTATTCTTACAATAACTTAAATCTTTCCTCTTTAAAAGTGCAAATCCTTTAAAATGTAGAGCTCTGTGGGTAAGAAAATGGCATTGCAGGTTCTTGAAGTTTTTATAGGCATCTCTCCTTGTGCAAAGAAAAAAAATCTAGAATACTCAAGCTCATTTTCAGTCATCCACTGAATTAATCTGTCATTTTCATTTTCTGTCAATACAGCGTGATTTTCTAAGTTAATCTATCCCTAAAAAAGAAACAAAAGTTGAATGTAAATTTTTCTACCAAGGCCTTTGAACCCAATGTTTAAAATGCAAGTTGCTCATACTGTGTGAAATGGTCCAAGTGTGTACAATGCGATTAATCTAAAAACAAATTAAAATATATAATTAAGTACAAACTCACCAAAATTAAAATCTGAAAATGACATTATCTGGTTAAAAAAAGTCCCGCAGGTAAACAGTAGTATTTGTATTGTTCTGAACATGATGTAGTGATAAAAGCTACAGTCTCAGGAGGCAGGGTAACCCTCCATTCGGGTTATTCCTCAGGGGGGCAGCAACAGGAAAAACTGCCCCAGATCAGGACTCAGAACATCCTAAACTCGCTTCAAAAAATGCCATTCCACTGTAGTGTGACGAAAATGCAATTGCTGCCATTTGTTTTCTTTTGGTCCAACCCCTTGTGAGTAAGGCCAAACTCCACAGTGGCTTTCACACAAAACCACTACAGAACATGCGGAAACCAACCATTTTCGACATATAAAGGACTAGTGTAAAAAAGGAAAAGAGTTACATTTAGTTTTGTGTTCTCCCCTCCTAATTACCGAGGACAACCGCTGTCAGAATTGGTTTCTTTTCTTCAAGGGAGGAAAAGAAGAAAACAAGGCCACTGCCTGTCAGCAGAGATGTGGTCTGAAAATGAGCTGGAGTTGCTTTGAGTAGAAGGCAACCTTTGTAAACACTTTCTCAAAAAGGAAACGGTGGCAGTTTACAACCAAAAATGTTTTTATCTTTAGTGAAGTTGTTTTCACATAAGATAATCACTAGCTTATCTGCAAGCTCCCAGAATGTGTATGAAGCTTAGTAACAGTCACTCGATTTGCTGTACTGGAATAAAGGCCCAGGGCGGCTCCCAGGACTCTCCTGTTTCCTGTCAGAAACTAGGATTTCTGTTCTGCACCTGCTGTGGTCTGGGGGGTGCTCTCTGGCTTCAGGATCTGGTATGTGATGAGGTATTCTGGATAAGCCTGGAGAGAGAAAAGGAAACAGTGTCATCTGGAAAGCAAGCATGCTTTTTTTAAATTACAGAAGAGGCAAAGTCCGATTACGCACAGGGCACTTATTTAAAAAAACTGCACATTAATGGACATTAGCTTTAACAATTTGCAATTATTTTGATTCTTTAAACAGCTTAAATCATGCCATAAGGTAACAAAATTAGTAAATTTTATAAAAAAAGGGATGGAGATCTAGGAGTCCAGGCCCCCTTACCTTAGTGAGTGAAAACTCGGCTGGAAAGGTGGTTAACAGTAGAGGCACAGAGATGCAAGGACAAAAAATACAGATAAGCTTGTGTTTCTACCTAGGTAGTAACATAGACCAGATGTTCCTAATTCTGGTCCTGGAAGACTGCATACTTGCTGGTTCCTATTCCAGCAGAGCTTAATTATATAACCGAAGCCTTAAGTGAGCCAATAAGTTACTTGATTGGGTCATTTCTATTGTTGTGTCTTCTCAAAAGTTCGAAATTGAAATTTACTTATGAAATGCAATAGCTTAAATGTAGCCTCTGACACATTTAATAGCAGAAGACTTCAAATGTAACCTATTATATAGTCAATTAAGGGTTCAATTGTGTATCATACTTGACTGGAAGAAGCAGGTGTATGGGTTTCTAAGACCAGGACTAAGAACCCGGACTGATGGTTGACTGATGGAGAGAAGATGGTTGTCTTCTGTCCCCGGAAACCAAACCCAAGCTTAGCACCAGTCGTAGCCCTTTTAACACCAATAGAACACAGGATCTTTTTAACAGGCCTGTCTCACCTGTTCACCTCTGTAGATGACATACTCTGCGTACGCCAGACCATTTACACTCGGCCGGCCGATCACAGAGTGGTGTCCCGGAGGAGCATGGGCCATCTTCATGGCGCTGAACTGCAGGAAGGACTTCCCCAGGGTCACTCTGCAGAACAGCATTTGTCTGAAACACAGCCGTCAGAACCATAAGCAAAAGAGAAGTAGGAGTCGAACCGAACTCAGCATAGCACAATCTGCTAGTACTATACAAACCCGCGTCTCTTTTGACTTCTCTGTCCTTCTACATAGCACGAAGTTCTGCGGATAATATGATTCTCTAAAGTCCCCAGCCAGTCACATATAATAAGATCTAATTGTATTTGTAGAAAATCCAATTCTACCTGAACACCAGGCAATGCAACTATATCGGCCACCTCCAGTGTAATCTTCATGAGAACTGCACCTCTACTTACATCCAGAGCTATGTCTAGAGTGACTGGAATACCACCAAGTCTAGTACAGTAATACCTCAGTGATAAATGTTTCTTCTCTCTCAGCAATGGGGAAAACAGGTACGAACTACAGATACTAATAATTAAAAAAGCATGTAGTAGTAGTTATTCAGTTAGTGCATAGTGCAAACCTCTTTGGTATTACTACTAAGTAATAGGCATTTTACTAAAGTAACCTTATTGAAGTACTGTGTTCAAGGCTATGGCTGCTGTTGCCTTTTCCCTTTAAACAGTTCTCTCAATTGAATAAGTTATTCAGTAATGATTAACACCAACAGGTGACACAGACATACAATAAAAGGAATCTTATTAAAAGGTGTCAATTGAAAGACAATCTCCTGCTGTTTCAACTTGTTTAAATTAATACGTTTCTCCCAATCATAAAGTCTTTGACAGTCTAAAAATATCACTGTGTGTTTTTAACAAATATCTATAAATCAAATCACACAGAAAGTACCACCTTTTTACAATTTAAGACAAAGCTTAATTATTTAAAAATTAAATACTAGTCAGTACAACTGTATGTAAAATATATCCTTTTCATTAAGAAGCTCAGCATACAATCATGCTTAAAACATCCTTTGATGCTTATGCATGATGTTAGCTGGTAGACCATAATGTGCAACATATGTAGCATTGAAACAGCCTATTCTATGATTAATTACACATTGTGCAGAAAGACTGTATAAAAAAGGCAGAGATACATTTGGATACAGATTGTCACATGTTTTTCTTTGCTGGTGTTTCAATTAGATCTCAGACAAACTGGGAAAAATATTTAATAAACAATCCAATCTAACAATACATTTCAAGGTGTGTATGTGTGTTATAAGAGGCACCTGACGGTGTCTAATATTTTGAATCAGAAATTCAGAATGATGCTAAGAATTTTTTAAAGGCAAAGTGGTCAAGAAACCACTGATACATTTGAGCAGTGTAGCTGACTTTTGCTTATAGAAAGGTACAAAAAGGCAGCATTGCCAGGCATCTCAAAATCTTGAAACAGCCACAGCTACTGAAAAAGAGATGCAGGTTCTCTTGTTCTAACAGAAGATGGAGCAAGAAAACGAATACAATTTAAACATCAGACCCTGATTCTTTTAAATTATTGTGAATGTATCATTTTTGTAAAAACAAAATGCGTGATAACACAGACACAGGTTCTTTTCTGTCAGTTCACTTACCTGTGGCAGATATAACAGGATCGATCTTTGTGTGTGGGGCACCCTGTCCCGCCCCCTATCCCATACACGTACTGATTACTTTTCGAAGAGTTCTCGGCGAAATAGATCCCTGCGCCGAACATCCCACCAATATAGGCATGCCTTTCATCAAAGCCCTTGTGAATAATGGCATTAATAAAGGGAGAACCTGGAAACAAAGAATGGAACACAATTTAAATCCCAGAAAACATCTTATTCAAACCATATAAACAAGCACTGTTTGCCCGCATCCCTAACACAAATGGAAGATGGTATCATCATGCCTGCAACACACCATTCAGAACAGACTTTCAGTAACATATACACTGTATAGATTGGAACTTGAGCTTAATATATGACGGGGCAGTTAAGTTCTTTCGAAAGAACTTTCTCTGTGGGAATTTTGTTACGAGACTAAATAATGATATAAACAGGGATAGCAACACAATTACCCAGGGTGCACATTATTTTTAATATATTGTTATGCTTTCACTGGCAAAGGAAACCTGCTCTGGCCAAGGCACTCCCTTGAGGTATTTCCAAAACATTACTTTGCAAAGCTCAGGATCTGGACCTCCTTTTTGCCTGGCAATGCTGCCAACACACTGGAGACAGAGTTCGTTTGCAATACAGGAACTCCTCAGCCATTCAGTCTTGTGTGTCTCAGACATTCATTCCTTTTACCCATGTAAAACAGAGGCAGAGACAGGGTCAAGATGCCTTCCTATCTTTGTTGTTAAGCCTCATTTGCATTGTAGCATATTTTGTTTGCTCTTTGTATAAGCCTGTTGTTTCCAGCAAAGTTCTTATTTGCAACTCTCAATTAGCAAAGCAAAACTGCTTCACAAGACTGTGCATCAAGACTGACATGAAAATATTATGGTCCAAAAAAAGCTAAATACCTTAATGGATCTCTAAATAAAATCTTGTCAAAATTCATAACATTTATGTACAGAAAATAAAATATTTTCATTTCTGTTTTCTCTTGCTAAATATTGACCTCAAACTTGTACTATTCCAAAAAAAAAAATGAAGAGCAAAAGTGTCTCTGGGTCAAAAACATTTGCAAAAGATCCTGCTAATGTAATAAAATGCACTGGGACCTAAGTACAGAATGTTTCGAAAAAAGGTATGCCACTAATGTGTTTACCTGCCATGTTTTCCAGAAACCTCAAAAGCCAGTTTTGCTGGAATTGCATGCTATGCTAATTCAAGCAAAAATGAAGGAGCTTAAAATGAAGGAAAATGTAGAATATAAATTGTCTGCATCTTGATCAAATCCACTCACAAGCAAGGTTCTAGATACTAGAATGCGTCCAATGGTAAACATTGGTTCCTTACCGTGAAAAAGCATGCGCTCATTATGGTGGTTGTGATTCTCATCAGCTATCTCTTTCTGTCGGTGTGTATACCTTTCTCTCAGCTTCTTGTTCACGACTTTCTGGATCTGCAAATAAAAAAAATAAATGAGAAGACAAAATATTAATAAAGAAGTCAAATCTGATTTATCAGCACACCATGTTTTCAGGTGTGCTGATGCTACACTTATATGTGAGCTCATTTGTAAAATAAATGAGGCATCTGAAACTGATCATCTTTACATAGGACTACCTAAAAAATATAGCACATTCAGAATTCAAAACTTCTTGGTGGTAATAAAAGCAACAATGCAGTGGGGCTTCTGAATGAAAGGCTGGGAGCACTGCACTCTAGCACTTGATTTATGCAAGTAAGACTTATTTTCACCACAGTCACTTAAGTCCCTATTACACAACATTTCTTACTGAATTCAACTATATTAAAATGGATTTAGCTTTAGGACAATATTAATGTAACTGGAACAAGCACAGAGGTTAAAAATAACAGGCCCCAATGTCCACAGCAGGAACCCTGGCCTTGCCTACGATTTTATTCTGTGGGAGCATACTAAGGGAAATACGTGCATTGGATCAATTTATACCAAGGGCTTTTATGTTCTGAATACTAAAACAGTATTACAGGAAAGCAAATATATGTGTGAATAACATGTGGTGTGAGTGAGGTGCAGTGTATTTGTTTCGGCTTACCTTTAGGATGTTGTACCTGCTGAATACACCACCTGCATTTCCTCCATCTCTGTGTTCCCGAATTGTGCTCTGCATCTAAAACACCAGAGCTGTGTTACAGGGGGAAGACGCTTGCTGCATACATTTCATTGAGATGTCCCTTGCATACTCACATCTAGATCTAACTGTCAAAACCAGTATACTATTGGTTGAAGCCTTGAGAAGAGAAATATTTTCAAAGTCATTCCAGCCACTACTAATGTACTTCTCAATGTGTGAATTTCTCACTGAGTGGACTTGCGACAGGTATCCTGCCCATGTGCAGTTCCACCTTGTGCCCTGACTAGATTAGGCTCCAGCTCAATGTGATAAAGTAGTAACAGAAATTACTGGATGTTTTCAAGTTTGATTCCTGGTATTGGGAATACAATTTTTAGGACAGAATTTCTTGACATCTACCCTGTGAAGTACACTGAATAGTTCTCTGTGAGTATTCATATTAGCATACAGTAAGTGATGTGGAATCTACCCTCTCATATGTGCTACTGCGGAAACATTTATACACACACCATTATATGCATGTGCATCTCCTGCTGATAAAGTATATGCACAGATGGATGTTAAGTGTAACATATTCCTCTTCTGTACATTAATGGTGGAGAAAAAACTGTACTTGTAGCCCTGCTAATCACTTAACACTGTCTTAAAACGGGAGAAAACCACTTAACTCGACACAGCCACAAAAAATGTTGTCTTATTGTTGTATGTATGTATAATGTATTCAGTTATGAAAAAATGTCCATTCTGTATATTCTGCTTACTGTTTTAAAATCTGAAAAAACCTGCATTTACAAGCATTTTGCTTTGACTTTCATGAATGCAAATAAGGTGGCAAAATCAATTCTCCTCTGAACCAAAAACTTATTTTAAAGCTGATATTTGACCTTCAATTTAATATGTAACACACACGGTAATCAGTTAAAGTAAAAAGTTTACAGCACTTTATATTATTTCCAATGCCCACCCTTTTCATTATTGTAAATGGTATTGCTGCACGAATTCAGGAATACTTCTTTATTATTTTACAAATTTTATTAATAAATGTTTTTTCTCCTCATGATACCTCACACTACTACATTATGTAATGCACTTGTACTAGTACAACACAAATGCAAAGAATTCAGAGCTTCTATAAAAAACAAACCCCTTTTCAACTGATATTAATAGGAATAAAATTCTGTCTCCAGATTTTCCAGTAAGTTCTCCAGAGATAGTTTTAACTTTAAGTTGCTGATACATCACAAATATGCCATTTGAAAAACATTTTATTTCATGTGCATATTGATCAACTGATCACACTGGATCATTGAAATTAGTGGTGACAACAAGAAAGCATAACTGGAGCCAAGAAGAAGCAATCATCTAGAATTACTCACAATCTTACATCAGTGAACATGATGTTGCTTCAGTACTGGGTTGGGAAGTATCATACAATGTGTGCACATCATGGCACAGTAAAGAAAATACCTTCCTCTTGCAGACACTAATTGTATTATATTATATAATACGGGCAAAATTAGTAGTACTGTACAAAGGTTGAATAACACCTTAAAATGCCCTTTTAGGGGTAATTTCAGAGATTAATGCTGCTTTTGCAATAACATTTCAACTCAAGATGTGACAGTGTCAAGTGGGTCATTTGATTGGTTTTCTTAATGTTTACATTGGATGTTTTTTTTAAAGTGTGTATATGCAAGTCTTTTTTTCACAGGGAGTAGCCTGATACTAGGAACTGCCCCTCCCGACAAATAGACTTTTAAAGCTGTGAATTTTAAAGTAAAAAAAATCTGCATGTTGCACACAAAATTTGTACTTAAATGTATGCGTCCCTAAATCTTTAAGCATTTAAAAACACAATTAGCAAAAAGTCAAAGAAAACTGTAAATAAACTTATTCAAGAGGAAAAAACTGCTTTGCTAAACAAAAAGTACACTTTGGCTTTAGTTTATTAAACTAAATAGATGATAAAATAATCTATTAAAAACAGGTCATATTGTGGTAATTAATGTTATAATGAAAATCACTTACAGTAAACAACAACAACATTCTGACTAATGTTTAGGGTGTTGACTTATGGTTAATTTGCTTATTTAATATTTTCTTGGTAAATACATACACATCTTAACACACATAGGCCAAACTATATTTTCTTATGTACAGCAAGTTCTTTTTTTGAAACTTCTAAACTTCAACCCAGAGTAGTCTGCCCAGATGCAGGTAAGAACATTTCTTTTCTCAAATATACCCTGGCATGTACCTTCAAACATATGCTGTGACTGGAGTCGAATAGCTAACATGAATGGACTAATATAATGCATCCATGTCCACTCGTCTTGTCTTCAAGGATAGCAACTTTTATTTTGCTATTATTTTGCTTTTATTTATCTGAGCAATACTATTCATTTGTAGTGCTGTAAGATTCTTCCTTGTTTCTATATCATTCAGATGTATAAGTGCCAAACTAGAAAGTGAGTTGCAAATGTGTATGGAAGGTTATTGGAAAACCCAGCAGGAATAAGAAGAAAACCTCATGACATGCATATCAGGCTATGATGACAAACACCACTTGGGGCTGCTTTTAACTCCATAGAATCTGAAGTGAAAGAAAAACTGCTCTCTGTTCCTCATATTGCCACTTTTTTTGCCACGTTTAAAAAAAGAGAAAAATTAATTGTTTGATAACTGGATGGGCTATAGAGGGTGTTTATGTGAAGGAAAACAGAACTGAAAAAGCAGAATAGTGAAGCACCTCTTCTTCCACAGACTGGAACTCCTTGTCATCTGGCACCAGGTCAATGAGAACTGTTCCCTGACTGGCACAGTGAAATGTCAGATAAGGGTTGGTACCTGTGGTATCAACAACAAACAAATTAGAGGCACGCAACCAGAAAAATAATCCAGACAAATATGACGCACACAAAAACCTATGCAGCGTTTAGTCCAACAATCATAACTGTAGATCCCTTCAAGATTTTGGATACTCTATTCAGGCAGTTTTAAAAGTCCTGCAGAAAAAATCCATATAAATTATTATCAGACAGAAACCTATTTTACTTAATTTCACTGATTAGAAAGAACTCAGGGAGTAGTTAAAAGGCAAATGTTTGTGTAATGCTGAGAAAATTTCACAAGGGAGAAATAGGCATTGTGTAGACACCAAGGAAATAGGCAATTGTAGAATGGACTGTGGGGTTATCCAACGGACTTATTACTGAGAAGCCCCTTATGTTGTTTGGACATTCAGTGGCATGTAATCACCATTTTTTTCATTTTTAAACATTTTCTTCTTCATTTCTCCATTGAATAGAAACTGCCAAATAATACCATTAAAACCCTGTGGGTTATTCTGCTTTTATTCAGATGCAAAGAATCATTATCTGTTTAGTCACACACATTTTTGTGTCTGCTACTTTGTACTCTGTCATACGCATTTAAAAATGTGTCTTTTTAGAATTTACGCATGTATTTTCCTAAAACAAAGCAAGTTTTGAAAACCTTTCATTTACAAGGCAAAACATTTATCTGTAAGCTATTAAAATCTTCCTCTGACAGCCTAATTGCACAATATGACAAGGGACTTCCTTTGACATTTATGAAATTGCACCATCTTCCGGTTGCTTCTGATGCAGTTGTCCCGAGAGATGACCTGTATCCTCTCCACTTTTGCCAGCTTACCTTGCTGCCCCCCCAAAAGCCTCTCTATTCCTTTGATCAGTTTGTGACGATGCCCATAGGCGTTTATGCCAATTTCCTTCAGCTCTTCATGGCCCATGTCCGCCAACACGTCCAATGTAATCTGAAACATTTCAGTGAGTAACAGATTAGCGTGGGAACGCAGATCACATCCTATTTTTAAAAAAAGCTTACGGAATAAAATATTTAATCAAACATAAATAAGCATGGAAAACATCCACCCACTTTTCCATCACTGTCACCTTATGTTAATGACAAGCGGGCGTTTACTAGAATATTTCATAAAGTGTTGCTTTCTTCAGGAGGGGGGGTGGCTGAAGGATTAGATGCAAATCTTAAAATAATCATAAGAATTTGCTTTTTAGATTTTCTACAAGGACTTGAATCTCTTTTTATCTTTGACTCATAAATTAATCATGATTTTTACTTTATTCTGCATAAAGTGAACACATATGTGTTCCAAATAAACTAATAGATCATTAAAGAGGAGCAATGGCATCACAAGGACTACAGCAATACTCATTAAGAGACCACATAGCCTTGACCAGAAAAATCACATTTTGTTTTATAAAAGATTGATTTCATACAGCCATTACGTGGTCACAGTAAGGTACGTAATTTGTTTGGATTCAGTCAACAGATTATATGAATGGCTGGACTGTCACTGAACATTTTAAAAAGTATGCATCTCACTTAGATTTCCATATAGTACAGTACATAAAGAAACACAACAAACTGCTGCATCTAGCCCTACGACTACCCCCTAAGATTAAAATAGTGTAAAAACTTTTAAGTGCAGTCACTTTGAGCAAAGGTTTGCAACTTTGTTTAATCTATTCATGCCCTGCTCAATCAGGTTATGCTGTCTTTTAAGTGACACTGCACCATCTGTTTCGGGGTTTAAAGTATCTCATGAACACTTCACCTTCCTCCTTTGCAAGGGTTTTTTTGACCCAAAAATGTCAGCAGACTCATTAGTTCGACCAAGTTACTTGTAGAGCAGTTATGATAGCATTGAGCTGTGAGTCACAGCTATGAATTACCAAAATTTCACCATTCATTTGCCTTTCTTGATTTTGTTATTACACTCTATAGTCTTACCTACTGTGAACATCTAAATTATTGCTACCAATTCCTAGGTAGGAAAAACTCACAATATTGCGGCATTTAAAGTGGTAAAACCAAGACAATTGTTTTGCAATGTTGTTTTGTTAAGGTATTGCTGTATTTTATATTAATTTGATATACAGTAGGTGATTCTTTGTCAGACACCAAATGAATATACAAGATAAGCGAAACAATTAAAGAAAAGGCTTTTTTTTAAATAATTTTTTTAACAGGTACAATAACCTGTTTTATCAGAGGGGCGATATAAATAAAGATTATGCAATAATTAGGGACATGGATTGCTTACAGATAATTACATTATATTTTCACGTGTTCATCACTCAACTATTAAAAATGAAGTTTATTCCACAGGAAACATGCAAAACAATAGAGAGCAGAAAACCATAATTTTATACCAACATAGTGTCCACCACACAGTAAAATGAAAAGAGGAACCTTATGAACTTAAAAAATACAATATGAACAGTGAGGACAGTGGAAAAAACAGTATTCCTGCATTCTGGAATTTCAGATGAATTATTAAAAATGAACTACTACAAACAGCTCAAAAGTCAGACAGCTTTTAGCAAGAAGGAGGTAGGAGATAAGGTTACAGATGTTGGTCCTTCACCTTTGGTGCTCAGTCACTACCACTGCTCTTATTCAAATGGTGGGTCTGTTTGATTACTGTTGCCCCAACTGAACAAACAGCTTTTCACTACTTACTAAATGAATAAAACCTTGATGTTATTGAACTTCTGCAGCTTGTGATAAATCTTATTTTGCATAGCTCTGATGGATGAAGGAAGAGATATATGAAAGACTGGCTATTTAGACTTCAAATGGAATATGATTACAAAAAATGGCAAAATAAGACTGTACAAATAAGGTACATTTAATGTGAGAACATAACTTATTTATTATTTAAAACATATTTGACTTTTATTCTTCCTCTCTCTATGTAGTCATATTAGAAGATTCACTCTTGAGTAAAAAGTAAATGCTACAGGTCCTCTTTAGATACCTTAATGAGAAATTCAGGTCCGTAAAGAAACCTGAATTAATAAACTGAGATCTCTAATCGAGATAGTCAGCGCAGATGTCTACTTTTTTACAGAATTCCACTTAGAGCACTTATTTCTCAAGATCTGAGACATCACATATGACTTTTCCTACAAACTCATCCTAACTTCACAGCATTCCACCAATATAGCAAGTTATTATCAATTGCTTTCTTATGGATGAGACTGTAGCAGTAATGTCACTGATATCCTACTTGCCACGCTTGAGCCCCACTGAAACATTGTGTGGTAAGCTGGAACAATGTGTGGTATCTGGGGCTCAGAGACCAGTAAACAGGTGCACACTTGTTCAGGCACTGAGAAAGTAACGAATACATCCCACAGGACAGCATCTGCTATCTGGAGCAAAGCATGAGTTGACTGTTATACACAGGAAAATTACAATGTCATTTTCTTGATGATATCCTTGTGGATTTGTTGCAGTTGTAATTGATGGTTTTTTTGGTGTTCAGGATATAATGCACTGAGGAACTGCATTGAATTGAAAGGACAATTATGTATAGGAAGTTCTCTTATATTCAAGAAAGGGCTTATGTGACTGTTTTGAACAAGCTTCAAGCAAAAACAGTGAACAAGCGACTGTTAAAAAAAGTGAGATTTTAAATGAAGAAATCCACAGTGACAGCAGCTGCTGTCTATTTCCGTCTCTGTGGTTTATCTGTCTGATGAAATTGTATACAAGCGTATCCCTGAACTATTAAATATTTCGGTAGTATAAACATACATACACAATATTTTCATGGTCTTTCCTCTGTTTTCTGCAAAGTCCTTACCTGCTCTCTCTCAAATATGTCTCTAAGATGTTCGAGACCCAGACTCTTCAGGAACTGACTGATGTTCATATCAAGCACTGCCACTGTAAAAAAAAAAAAAAAAAAAGACTTGTCATTTTTCAGCACCCAGTAAATGAAATTCCTTTCTGAAATAGATTGCCTTTGGTTTATTTCTGTCATCACCCAAAACCTCAACTGCTAAGCAGAGGGAATGGCAAGACTTCTCTTCATTCAGTTACTAAATGCACATTTCAGCATATGCCTTTGTGGGACTGCAATGGCAAATCAAACTAGTGGCAGTATACCCAACTGGTCCATAGAAGATAAAGACAAGCCCAGAATCTTTCCCTTCTTTTTAAAGATTTAAATTCAGATTTCAGCACACTGCAGGGTACGCAGACACCGTACTGTCCACAGTAAGCAGTTCATTACAACACATCCTCATTTCTAGGACTGCTATCATAATAGCTACAAAACAATTAACTTCACCATGCTTTTAAGGCGTTCTTAAATTAACATGTGCTCTGTGTCTCGCTTCTTTGAAAATGAGTACTGGCTCACTCCTAGGTAAATAGTTTGTCACTTACTCTCCCCTTCCTTCCTCTCAGTACCAGTGGCTCCGTCTGCGGCACCTGAGGCCCCGCTGACAGCCAGCTCTGCCAGTGGCCCCGTCAGGTTGTCGATGCTGCTGGCAGCGGAAAGGCAGGACGGTGTTGAGGCTGGTGAGATGACGGAGGCACTGACCACTGTGGCCTGGGGCTTGAAGCAGCTGGGCAAGGCCTCAGGAGGCATGGCATCTATCAGGAGTGCTCTGATATCATCCGCCTGAGAGACGGCCACAAGAGAAACAAGACAGGAAACTTAGCTCAGTGGCATCAGTCGATTCCAGTCACCATGACCCTTTAGCCTGTGACAGCATGGGGGAAGAAACAGCAAAAGCAAAACATGTCGACAAAACTGGTGAGGTACAAGAAAGCAACAATTCATACTACACATGGCATTTCACCTTCAGAGCTGGAAAAATAGCACAATCTAATAGCGACAGACACCTATGTTTAGGAAATATCGGTTACAGAAAGGACAGTCTGAAAATCAGTTGAGAAGGATAGCTCTGTTTTGCTGAAACAAAGAGCATATCTCAAAAATGAAATTTGTGAATGGAACAAGATTAAGTGCAAATATTGCATAGCCAAATAGTTTACATATTTGCCTGTTTGGAGGATTTTTACTGTTCAGTAGAAGTCAGAAAGTCTTAAGAAAACGGGAAATGTCTCACACAAGCCATTGAGTCTCGATGCTTAGCGTTCACAAATGTGTACAGTAGTTAAAAGTAGCAGCAGTAAAAGGGGGCAAAGAGGTAACATAAAGCAACATTAAAAATGCACAGTTTCGTTCTCAATAAGAATACAAAGTTCACAGAACACAAAAGTTCAAAGTGCAAAATTGTTAAAAAACTGCTAAGTACTGTAGACAAAGTAAAAAATACCGTCATTATTAGGTCCATGGGAATAATTATGTTCTTACTTCAATTTAAATTAAATCACAGTTAATTAACTTAAATTATCTCGCAGTGATAAGGCAATGATTTAAGGCAGTGGTTCTCAAACTGTGGTATGCGTACCGGCAGTGGTACGTGGAGTGCCGCCAATTGGTATGCCAAATGACCATGGAACTGTGTCGTGTGCGCTGAAAAATCGGGACGGGTTTTCATATTTTGTATTTTAATACGTATCGAATACGCAGCCTACGTACTACGGTACAGTGCGTGCTAATACTTCAGTGGACACAAGAGATACTCTGTAATTCTATACCACTCTATAGGAATGCGGGCTACGGATGCAAGTGACCATTTTTTTTTAAAAAAGCTACTGTATCTCCAGCAAATAGGGAAAAAGGAGAATGTGCGTGATTTTGGAACAATGCCAACGTTGTAAACACAGGAATGCATAGAAATACGTGCTACGAACGCAGGCAATCTTGTGAGCACACGAAAGCGTGATAACAGAAAAATATTTAAGAACTGTTCTAATTTGAGAAAAATACACCAATTGTCTCTGTGTTTCGCTCCCATGCGCATGAAATAAAAACTTTAAATAAATACGGAAATAAAAACAGAAACGCGGAAAAATGCAAGCTTGCGGATTGCTAAAGTAGGTAAGCTAAACTATTTTTGAAGAACCTTATTTACCGTTGGCAAAAGAGCTGACACGTATTATGTGTAGAGAAAAAGCTGCTAAACAGCTCGACCTGCTGCCCCCCTCCCCCTGAAAGACACAGTCATTCATAGAATTATTGAAATGAAGGATTATATGAAAATTACATTGATAGAGCGCGTTAAGATGAGCAGATGTTTTTCACCGCAATTAGATGAGTCTGTAGTCGATTTGGCCAATTTACTCGTTTCCGTTAGATACGAGTTTGAGGGCATGTCCCATGAAGACTTTCTGTTCTGTAAACCGCTACCAACAGGAACTACAGGAGAACACATATTTCAGCTTCTGAATTAATTTATCGAAGAAAATGGCCTCGACTGGATAAAATGCGTCTGAGTTTGTACAGGTGGTGCTAGAGCAATGACAAGCCGACATAACGGTGTAGTTGCACGAACTAGATGGATTGCTCCAGAAATTAATGTACGCATTACAACATCCACCGCGAGACCTTTGCCGTCAAGAAAATGCCTGACGATTTAATATCTGTTAAGACTCTGTTGTGAATTGTATCAAGGCTCGAAAAATTAATTCACATCTGCTTTGCTCAACTAAACAGGCTCACCCCTCTCACTGAAATGGTGCTTTTTTATTAGTTGTTGTTAATGTTTTTTTCTGTAAAACACTTTGAGAAGCCACCTTTAAAGGCGCTATATCAAATAAAGTTTATTATAATATTTATTATATGTTTGTGTGAGTGTGTGTGCACGCGCGCTCATGTTGGTCATTGAGAATTTCTGGGGTTCCTATGAGATGATGACTTGTAGGTGGTACTTGGATGCTTTGGTTGGATTAGGGGTGGTACTTGGTCCAAAAAGTTTGAGAACCACTGATTTAAGGGAAGGGATATCTCTAATTTAGGAGCTATTTTATTCACCCACGCACTGTAGTTCTGTCTGTCCTACCAGTCATTCCCAAAAAGATTTATTTCATGGAAAAGAGTACATTTACTTGAGCATGACATTCCCAGGTAATATGAATTAGTCAACTTGTGAACTGAATATTACAGATTAGCACTAACTTGCAACTTTTCAAACTGTTAAAGAAGTTGACAAAAAAGTGACTCTGGAAATACCTGTAAGAACATCTGATACTCGTTATAACTATACTGATGATGTCACTGCACTCAATGAGCGCATGTGGATTTTAGAGTCAAGTGCTACACTAGCACTGTGAGGAATTCAAATGTGTATCAAAAATCACCTTAGTGTGTTAACAATTTGTACAGCATTGCCTCACAGGACTTCTATGTGAAGTATGCATGCATCAGTCAGCTCTCTCATTACCTCCCATCTCCCAAAGACATAAAGAGTAGGTCTGATTAGTGACCCTAATCAGAATTTTAAATTCTCTCCCCAATTTCAACTGCAGGTCCTCCTGAGTTAGGGAATGGAGCAGAGGGAGTTTCTGTATACCATGTCTCTCATTCCTACCTGGACTGTGTACAGGTTACATGAATGTGTTAAAGATAGCTGTATCATCATTCATCAAACACATGCACACCTTTCAACTGCTTTCTTTCAAGGTTCGTAAAGAAGACTTTCGAGACATCCAATCTCTTCCTCTGCAAGCGCATGTTACTTTGCGCCTGAATTGTATAAGGGTATGGCCAAGATGTGTGCTGCAGGGGGTGCTGAGATCTTAGATGTGCTTGTAGCTTGTGACCCTAGGTCAGCCCTCACCGTTGCCAGGTCCAGGGGCGTCTGTCCTTCCTGGTTCTTCATAGTGGGATCAGCTCCATGGGCCAAAAGAAGAGCACACAGCTGGGTCCGCCCCTTCTGGGCTGCCTCATGGAGGGGGGTGAAGGCCCATTTGTCGGTAGCATTAACGCAAGTGTTGTACTTGATTAAGAGAGCTGCAATGTCCACATGCTGTTATGAAAAATATGATCAAAATGAATATCCTTTTGGTCCATGCACCTCAACTAATATTTCAACATAACACATTTCTACACCAGTAGTCATCTCTGGATTGTACATAAATAGTTAATATTCTTTAACAATTTCCATCATTTCCTTGTAAGCAAATCATATTAAAAATATGCAAATGGTTAAACTTTCATTGGAATGCGTTTAGAAAAGACTGGAATTGTACAAGATCAATTAGGATTCTAAACAACAGTGAATTTGTTTCACTATTCTCAATTTTTCATTGAATATTTTCTTATTCACAACACCAGTATGCAGACACACATTAAACTAAAAGAAAACTTTGGTCCCTGTTCGATGAAGTTAGTACAAACTAGTGAAGTAAAAAATAATGCTTTTGTACTAGCCACAAACTTTCTGCAGAATTGTTATGAGTTGTTTTTATTTGTTGTGCTGCATACGTTACTTTCTAATCTTGATTGCTTGCTACGTTGTATACTCAATCCTGGGTTGCCTTAAGGCAATTATATTTTTTAAACAAACTTCCCTCATGTAAACTGTAGACCCATTCGTGCCAGAACATTCAAGGTCAAAAGAGTGACAGCAGATGATTACCAGAACGACAGCACTATTAGAGCTAAGGCTGGTCTCAATTCTCTGTGACAGGAGGTAGATTCACAGGCTATGCAGAAGTGCTGTAGCAATGTGTAATTCTGACACTCTAGGAGCCACACACACAGATTGCACCTCTAGCTCCCAGACAGGAAAGAGAAATGTGCTTTGTGAAAGTGACCCAACTGCTGCTATTAAATAGCCTTTCCTTTCTCCAAGAGCTTATCGAATTTCAAGACTGTATAAGCTATAAAATAAAGTAATGGTATAAAAACAAAGCTGAACACTTATAAATTCTGCACTCATCTACACTACGCTCAATGCTTTTTATCCCGTTTACTGTATGAGCTTCCCTTGCTCGGACAAAAAATATTTCACCTCGCATATGACAAAGAAGGTTAAGAAGCATCTCATATCAATCCACTCAGGTTCTCTCTGATTCTATTCAAGGGATTTTATTCAGCTACTGAACTCAAAACACAGTACTTCAGCACTAATGATATTTGCCAGGTACTTGAGCTAACCAGAGGAGTTCACAGTGTAGCAGAGAGGCTAATTGACTTCAGCTGATTTTATCTCAATAATTTACAGGTCATGTTAATCACAATCTCTGTTAACAGGACATGGATGCCTTATGAAATCATAATTTATGTTTTAAAACTGCAGTGTCTTGCTCTTGTCTGCTTAAAACTAAATACTTTTTTTTCTAAATTCTAGTGGCCAGAGACTGGGCAAGGTAATGCTTAGGTTTATAAATGTAATAGGCGTTTGAAAAAATATAATGGATCTCACGAATAGCTTGTTTTTCTTCACATTCGTTTATAATGTTTATTTCAATATTTTTGTTAAGGAACTTAAAAAAGGCATGACTTACAATGCACTGATTTCCATTTAGCTGATGTTACATTTCATGTACAGTCCCCAATCAGGAGATGTGCAATAGATTAAATGAATTTCAATCAAGAACATATGGACTCCATGGTAGTCTTATTTAAAGAATGATATTTTACAGCCATGCCAGGTCACAGTTGCCGAGAATTATCCATATTATTTCAAATATAATTATATTATACCACTGATATCTCACGGTCTCTTCAGATTCAGCTAGTAGTGAACGAGTGATAAAATGAAATGACAGGAAAAATTCAGCTCTAATGAGAAGAATATATAAATTAAAAAAACTATATTTCATGATGGTCCTGCTTCAAACTTAAAAAACAAAAAGCAACCTATAATGAATTAACAATATTCTAAAACTTAATTAGTTAATTTAAAATTTCCAAGAGCAAAAATGTCAATCTGTACCTTTTGTGGAAATTACATGCTTTGTAGTCCCAATCATATTTTTAAACGAGTTAGTTTTGAGAGACAATGACATTTAATGACTCTGAACATCAAAACCCAAATTCTTACATTATGCCTCTATCATTTCTCTCTCTAAAGAAAAAGCCAATCTTGACTAAAGATAACAAGGGCACAGAACCAACAACAAAAAGGCTGAAATTTATTCTAGGCAAGTAAAGAGAAAATATGCATTAGAATTGCATTCAATATGGCAGTTCTTTCCCACTGTCATGCAATAAAGTCATGACGAGTTAAATGAATTAGTGCTGTTGAAGAATTTCAAAGATGTATAGAAATAAATTAGGTAAAGCGCTTATAAAGACCAAATTCTGGAAAACAAAAAATCAAGCAAGAAGCAGGCTGTGTGGTCATACTCACTCCATAAGAGGCTGCATTGTGCAGTGGAATCAGACCTCCTTTGTCCTGGGCATTGACATCTGCCCCATGTTCAAGAAGGTACTCTGCTACTTCCAGATTATTGTACCCAGCTGCAGGGAACACGGAGAAGGCACTGCATCATACTCAATCACACATCAAATCCAAAAGCCAAGTCTTTTCCACTCACTTAAAACTCAATTTCCATTATGAAATTGCAGAAATAAAAAAAAAACATTAAACCCAGACCACACAATACACTACACTAAGAAATCACCTGTTGATACTCTGATATATATGTTAACACCCTAAGTAATGTGTGTTGTTTTTACAAATATGTTTTAAAATATTGCTGCACTGATATAATAATAATTATAATATTTCCATGCAAAGTTACCAAGATCTAAATACGTCAACAATAATTACAGTGCTGTGAACCTGAAACACAGACTCCAACAGACAGTTTTACTGCCAAACCCTCCACTTTATCCTTCTTGATACTCCACACATGGTAAAACATTCGCAAACTGAACCTGAATCATTCTGAAAAAAATGCACAACTTGCTAGGCTCCCAAATAAACATCTTTAAAAAAATCTGAATATTTGGAAAAATGAATATTTTAACATTAAAGCTAAAGCTAAAGCTGAATGTACCCAGACATACAAAAAAATCTTTAGCATTCCGTAGTTTTCAGCTATGGCAATTGGCATATTAAATGTATGCAATTTCTACCTTTGTGCATGCTTTAATGGATGGAATTAGAAAGAAAAGTGCTGGAAGTACCGCAACTATCTTCCCATTATAGGGTGTTTTCCATCCACAGTATTACTTTTGTTGATTACTGGAAGCCCAAATTCTTCAACAAATAACAGCTTGACTTGCACAGCAGAAAGGGAATGATGAAAGATTATTCCCCTTTGACTTTATGCTTTACTCTTGGAAAAAAAATCAATGAAACCAGCCTAATCTACGGGTTCTGGAGCGCTGAACATGCACACAAAAAGGTTCTTCCAATTCGATAGCTTGAAAATAGATTTTTTTTGGTTTACAAAAACCTTCAATCTTGGATTCAACTGTTTTGTGAAGTCAGGCTCCAGTGTGTAGGGTAATCATATAAACGATTTTTGATATAAAGATGACGCGTATATAAAGATGATTTTGTGTGCAAAAATACTGCAGACATTTCTGCACATAATAAGTGATGGCAATCCACCCTTTTTAACTAAACTGTCTGATTACTATGGATTCCTAAACATGCGAAATAAAAACATAATTATTTTATCTAGATGTTCACTGTTTAATATTTTAAACAATCAAGTTGTCCGTTTCAAATCTAGCTGTGGCAACAAATTACTGAATTGCCCAGATGTTTCTGAAGATCTGAAATGCAACATTCCCAGTGTGTACTGTAAGGGCATATCGGACTATCTGGTTCTTCAGAAGTGGCTGGACTCTTACTGCAGGCTATATATACACATTTAAAAAAACTGAGGCTGGCGAAGCTCCTAATTACATAGAAACATTATTTTCCAGCTTCCTACAGAGAAAGCAGCTGTGATATTGAAGAGCTTTTTAGAATAACTTTAACGAGTCACAAGAATATTCTTTTATTTTTCAAAATTAAAACAGTCAGAGACCAGCTTGAAAAACACCACCAGACATGCTATTCGGGAACTGACATTCTGAACACTTATATATGCCTGGCACTGAGGCGCAATACTTGTCTAACGAAGACATTATCTTTCTGCTTTTCTTGAAATCAAGAACTTAAATCTTGTGGTCATTTAGAGTTTTGTGGTCAAGAGTTTTATAACTGAAAAATAAATATTCAGATCACATTTAAGCATTAGCTGCAAATAATTTTTAACTTGAAATCCTATTCATTAACTAAGGAGAAAGAAATTTGATACAAAATACAACATTTGGTAAAAAAATCTTACATTACATATTTTAGCAGCTAGGCTTGTATATTTTTACGTTTCCTGAAAAAAAGATCAGGAAAAAACATAAGCTTCATAGTTCACTGATTAGTTCAAGGTGTCTCTTATTCTTTAATATCTCATTAATTACTTAGTCTGGCTTAGCCTGAGGTCAGGAAGTATTATTAAATACTTTAACCTTCAATTATAGCAATATTTTTTTTTATATTATATGATTTTAATAGTAAAACTAACATGGCACTGCATGTAAATAAATTAAGATAAAATTAGGAGAGTTGCATTTCTGTAGACTTCCTGATAAAATGTGCAACACTGACATTGGGTTTTATGTTCTAAAATCGCATTTAATCATATCTTAAAAGCTTAAGTAAGACTGGGCCTGGTCAACACTGATGGGAGACCTTCACAGAAAAAACAAGGTGTTGCTATAAGTAGGGTTTGTGGACCAGTAGGTGGAACTCTTTCCTCTAGACCAGAATTTTCAAACAAGTGCCACAATAAGGTGAAGGTAGATGCTATCTAAGAGGAGCATCCTACACACCTAAAATATTAAACCAACTACACAATTATTAGAGATCCAATGGTGCTGTTCAGAAGAGTAGGAGTGTTAACGTCTGCATACTAGTTAAATTCCACTTTGGTGCTTTGGTGCAGTTTTCCTTAAGGTCTAGCTTTGTTCAGTTTGTTAAGTAGCTTCTCATTTGTCCGCCTTATCTGCTGTGTAGAAATCCATCTATATTTGCAGCACTTTGGTATCCTTAGGGATAAAGTACACTATACACGTGTAAGCCATTATTTGTTATAGTACAAAAGACAAATTATAATCTTTTCACATTTTTTTCATAATTTTAAATATTAGTCTTTCCTGAAATGTATTTAATCAGACAGCAATCGCTTAGGTAAATTCTGTGAACTCTAAAATGTAAAAGGCCAAACAGAGACAAGACTTGCTGTCAATTAAATGTTCCACTTACAATTGTATCTATATGAAATCTCTAAACAAAAAACACTTTCTATGGCCATTAGCATTAGCTCTTGCTTTTACAGTCTATTACTATGGCTATTTATTCCCATTTCAATGATTTCTCAACAATGATGCCCTGGCCCAGAGCTGCTCCACTATCCATCTGGTGCCTATACTATTTGCCTCTGAATTCCAAAAAGCTGGAGAGCATTTCTGAACTTTTGCCATTTGTGTACCGACATTGGCAATCCCTTCTAAAAAGGACATGTGATCAATGTCAATGACATGCTTTAGAAAAGGCTTAGGTGGTCCGATATAGAAAGTAAGCTGTAACGGACTTACTTTTTTGTAATGGGTATACTGACACTTTTGTGACAGAAGGATATGTTGACTAACATTTGTCATCAGATGTATTCACAGGAGGTCTACAGTTAAAAGCCCCAGGCCATCACTGGAAGCAATTTAAGCTGCACATTTACAACGAATGCTTTGCATCATGCAAGTTGCAGGTACTTGTGGGATTTTGTTCAATTCCTCTCCCAGAGCCAGGAAAAGCACTGACTGTTCAGATGTCTCTGAGCCCTAGGTACCACACACCACCCAAGCCTATTCCACAATCATTCAATGAAATTGAGTTTGGTCAGTAAGGGCATCCATGGCACCGTGGTCATATTCTCAAGAAAATCATTACTGTATAAGCAGCATGTGGACATGTGGTGTTCAGATGGAATGCTGTTAATTCAGATAGACTACATGAAGTGTTCTAAGTGAGGTGTCAGGAATTGATCAGCATAGTGCTATGCAGACAAATTGCAACCAAACAGTACAAGTGGAATTTTGTAGCAACTAGACACTCCTGCCCAGGACACCAGTTAGACATACTCATCAATCAGTGACGGTAAGCTGCCATGAGCTGTGTTTTACCAATCACAGACTGCATTTGGCTGTAATGCCTGGCTAGGTTAGAAACTGTCAGCTGTAAACAACCCAGATAGCAAGCAACAGAGTGGAGATTTCATCCAACTTCCAACATACTAATGGCTCAAAGGCAACATTGGTTCCTTTCTGTGTTCTTCATTCATGATTTACACCAGGGCTTGAAATCCTACAGGGTAAGCCAGCTCATCACCTATGCCCAACCCATTTTTTCACTAATGAGGCAATTATTTCTTACGTAAGTTACAAACATAGTCAAGGTGGAACTGTGTAGCAGTGCTCACTGTAGGACTTAATTTCTATCCACTGATTATATAACAAACAAATGTACTGTAGGTGCTTAGAAACATGTGCAGAAAACAGTTGTCAAGAGATTCTTTTTTTTTCCATCCAACATTTGACTGGATAGGCAGTCAGTGGTGGCTCTACCTGCTAAATGCAACGGAGTTGAATTGCGCCCCTGGGTGTCCCTGCAGTTGATGTTCTCTGGGCTGCACAGTTTCTGCACTCTGGCCAGGCACCCCTTCTTGGCAGCATCCAGCAGAGCCGCATCACCCCTCAGCAAGTCCTGGATGTCTGTGTCACCCTCTTTCACCATGTCTAGAGGCGTGTTTCCATCCCGGTTCTTCTTTGTAGGATCAGCCCCATGCTGTAAATCAAAGGAATGAATTTTAAAAAAAGTCCTGCATGCTTAAGCAAAAAAAAATCCCCCAAAAATCTCAAAGATGTTTGCCTTGTAAATAAAAAAAAGACACGGAAGGCAAAAGTGGAGGTCCTGGCACAGAAGAAAGAAGGCCATTCCTTGCGTTACACTACTGCAGGAATAATTTTTTTTAAGAGAAGATACAAAAGACAATTCATGAAGGTTAATGAAAATTTTCAGAGATCATTAACAGTAACTGATCACCAGAGTCTCTTACACACAGCAATAACGTCAAAAACTTAAGCTCACAGTCAGCACTCTTTCACGTGATTGTGGCATTCTTGTTGAATAGAACGACAACGAAACATATTTGGACAATTACAGCACAACAAATTGTTCAAATATAGAAAACAAGAAATAAATAAGACTCTGCTGCATTCTATTCAGCTTAATTAAATGTTTTGGCTGATGTGAATGTCAACACATCTGAATACATTTCAGCATTCTTCAAATAATAAAACTGTTGAATGGAGTAGAGTTTTTGAAAATGCCAAATACCATACTCTCTAGATGCTTTCCCTTGTTGATGTTAACAAAAGGATAACATTTGCAGGTTAAGACCTAATATTATGAGCACAAAACCCCTCTTTAATCTCCTCAATGGCAAGCTAATAAAATAACATTAAGCAAACAGAAATTAAATGGAAATGAACTAACTTAAAAAGGCCTACTGAAAGATATGTTAAGCTCACACTTAAATTTCTTTTGGGGCGGACAGGTTTAAGAATGGAAGGCAGGATGAGCATAATTACCAAGCATACCTTTAAGAGCAGCTTGCAGATTTCATATTTTCCTTTGGCCGCTGCTTCGTGCAGAGGGGTGAACTTCCATAGGTCTGCAACATTGACTGAAGCCCCATGTCTGACCAGTAGCTCTGCTACTTCATAGTGTCCATATGAGCAGGCATTATGCAAAGGAACCAAACCCCTGAAAGAAGGGCACAAGCCAGACATCAGTACGCTGCGTAGCTATTTGGCTGCCTTCAGAGTCATAAAAAAGACACAATTGAGATTCCACTCACAGCTAGAATCTACCTTTTCCTATACAAAGACATTATCCATATTTAAATCATCCTTACTGATAGGAAAATAAGCACTTTCATTTTATATAGATAAAATCATGAGCATGACGGCATGTGAATCCAATTAAGAGAAAGCAATCTTAAAAAAGTCAATGAAAAGACTAGGCATCACTACAGCACAGTGCTTCTTCTAATATTATCCCTCAGAGGCCATTTACAGCCAAGGGTAAGGAATGACTGTGCATTTGCAGAGAAACAGAATAAGAATGTTACCTTTCTTAAATACCGTTCCTAAAATGTTTAATTTACTTTCAGAATAAAACTAATATAAAACTGTTAATAAGTAAAGCAGGATTAGTACTAGCAACGGGGCAGCATCCCATTTTAAACCTTCAGGAAGTTTACAATACAACCGGCCCTGAATAAAATATGCAGGAAATAAATAGAATTAATAAATATGACATTGCTGCCATAATCTCTCCAAGATGTTGAGCAATCTTTTAAATGTTAAAGGTGCACTGATAATGTGACACCTTTTCAGTGCACACAGGCAGCATGAAGATGCCCGAGGCTAAACAAGCAAGTATTTCTTGTCAGTTAAAAACACCTCAGCATGGACTGATCTGCAACACAGCCTGCAGCAGAAGAGAGCAAGTATCTGGACACCAGGAAAGGGTCATACCCTTTGTCTTTGGCATGGACATCAGCCCCATGGTGCAGCAGGTACTCCACCACAGATACGCGGTTATAACCTGCGGCAAAGTGTAGGGGGGTAGAGTGACGACCCTCCAGATCCCGGCAATTCACATTCTGCGGGGAGCACAGTTGCTGAAAGAAACAAACCGTTGATTTAAAACATCTAAAACATCTAATATGGCAGAAAATATTAGGTAAAGCTAGTGCCAACACAATCTTATAATACTGGAATATCTAGACTCTAATATCTTCTCTTAAACATCCCAGTCTTTGCTGGTGCTGGAGACAATGTGTTACAGAATTTAGAAACTGAAATGGGCAGAGCAATTATTTGGTAAACAGTTGTAGTTTTGCTTCTGCACAGAAAACTGATTTCTGTCCCGGTGCTTTTATTTAAAAAATATAAGAAGGATACAAAAAACAGTGCAAGATGATGACATTTAAAGCGCTGACGTGGTTTAAAATGACCACACAACAAATGACTAAAGTGAATCAGCACCATGGGTTCGCAAACGATATTACCTATTGAGCAAAGGTACACTTCTGCTTGTACAGATCTGCTGTAACAGCTTAAGATACTGTGCGAGGTTTAATTAGGAAAACTTGGCAGATGAAATGTGCTGTTCATACCTTCACAGTGTCCAGGTCTCCAGCTTTAGCAGCTTCTAGAAGCCGATAATCAACATCAGAGTTGCGCACAGGAATGTTTTCTGCAGGCAAAAACCAAAAAAAGCTTTTGCTGACTCCTGTCAATTTAATGATCACACAACAGAAGCTGCAATTAAAAGCATGCAGCAGAATCAGTACACCTGCAGGTGAGACATCTCCTGTCTGAAGCAGCTGATCTGAATCTTATTTTTATTTTGCTGCCTTTTCATTCATTCTGATGATTTTAAATATTAATTTTTAAAATAAAAATGCTCTTTATCATTCTATCCAAATTTAGTCACTTTTCTCTGAAGATCACCACTTGAATTAACGGTTGTTAAATTAATAACTGAAGTGACAATAAAATTATCAATTTTGCAGGGATGGAACTCAAAATAACTGAACAAATATCTAGTCAGTTTCTGATACTTGCAATATAAATGTCACAGACGTGTCATTAAATAATTTAAATTAATAACAGGAAAATTCAAATTAGCTAAAATTTTCTCTCAGATAATTACAAAACAAAAATTACATTAAGGAGGACATTTCATATTCTTAATTGCTTCACACTTCAGCAGTATGCGGATTATATTCAAAAGCCAGGTGCATTAAGATTCTTTTTTAAATAAAAAGTAATAGTATTTTAGCATAAAGAGTTCCTATTGCTCAGTGGTACTTGAACCAGAATAGCTAAAGGCAAACTGCTATAGTTTCATAAATTCTAGGTAGTTTGAATAAGATTCTATTTGTAACTATATAGCTCTTTCAGATTTTGCTTAACATAGATCTGCCGTTGCAAAACTAACAACATGTGACATCAATTCCGTATTTCTGACGTCTAATACACTTGCATATTTCTCCCTATTTAACTTTGCCTCATGTTTAACTTATCAATATGTAAATTGCATTTCCCTATTTTTCCACCATGCCCTCATTCAAAAGCACTCAAACACTACAGACACAAAAGCCATGGGCTCAGATCACCTTCAGGGTATTATAGTGTTTGTCCTACAAACAATAGTTTTTTTTTTTCTTTTTACTATCCACAAATAAGAGCTGTAATAAAAGTATACAATTCCAAACAAAAAAACAACCACTCCTTCACTTTAGAGTATTACAGAAATTCACTAGAAAACCTCATGATTTATTCTAATTACCTCTTCAGACAACATTTACACATTTTTGGTGAATCACCTCAGAAGACATCAAATGGCAACTAAAATTAAAACTCAGCTTTCATTTTTACATAGTACACACATCAAAGGAATTAGTCAACCAGTGATTTTTTTGTGACAGCATTTATAGACTTGATTTCTCCAGTGCTGGATCCTAGCAATGTTCTAATGTGCACACTGCAGTATGTGCACCAGAGCTCCGCACCGTTAAGGATCTGCTGCACTGCTTCATTGCCCATCTGCGCAGCTGTGAAGCCCTGCAGTGAGACGATGGTAGGGTCAGCTCCGTAGCTCAGGAGGAGTCGGCAGGTCTGGAGGTGACCAGCCAGGGCGGCTCTGTGGAGGGATGTCTGCCCCAGAGTGTCCAAGGCGTTCATCTGCAACCATAGGGCACCAGCTGTTAGAACACTGTGGGCATTGGTGAACAGTCAACAACACAAAGTGATGACCTGCTACAGGGCTATAGAAGACACTTTAAAATCTCTGCCTTACAAATAATGTTACAAGCAACAAAATACTCTGGGCCACTGTCTCCAACATAAAACAAAATTAAGTTCTTATTTAGTTAGAAGGTACATTCATGTGTGAATTTTTTCTTCTCATCTATGCAGGCTCACAACGTTCTCAGCCAATAATAAGACATTTACCAGACACCACTGCTGTGACACCTGCTTGTACTTCATGTTACTGAGGTAGACAAGATCTCCTGTTCATCATATGCCTTTTTTTTATTTATGCATTGCTTTTATACAGGTTGATTTAAAACACAAGCATGCTGCTATCGTTGAGTATTTGAGACAGCTGTGGCAGCATACATTTGTGACCATGGGGAATGTAATCTCTTGCAACAAAAAATTAAGCATCCATTATGGTCTAATAGTAACAGACAAGACATAAAGGACCACAGGTAGCTCTAACAGCAACTGATGGTGTTTCTATAAGCAGCTCAGACTTTGCCCACCACTCTTGTGTACATAGAGATGGAGCGAGAGCAGATGTGAAACTGACAGTTGCTAGCTCCACAGTTCTGAATGCTAGGGAGAAGGAGCCATGTGTAAATCTGATCGTTTGAAATGAACACATATGTGAATTATTTATCACACCCTGCAGGCAAACAGCACGATCCTTTGGAAAGCCTGTTGTGTGTCTGCAATATGCAGGTAACCAGAGGAAACCAAGGCAAAACTAGAAACCCACCACATAGTGTATTAAAGACATCAAACCATTCCTTGTGTGAGAAAAGAAGCCCTTCTAATTTAACACAACATTCTTTAATCAGTGCTTTCTGCACTGTTTGTGAACACAGAAAACCAGTCCGATACAGTAATACTTCAAGGATGGCAGTCAAAAATAAAAAAAAAACCGAATTTAACCTCAAAACAGGCATAACAATATTCAGGAATAAATTAACAGATTCCCCAAAAGAAAAAAAGCCTGGGGCACCAAAGATAATTCAAGCCTCCTGTGCTTCTTCACTTTACATATAATGACAACTTCATCTTGATAAAAAGATAACTGGGGATAAGAAACACATGACAAGGCAAAGTTTTTACAGTGGCCATTTTTGGACTTCCGGATTTCTGAACAGAAAAGAAATGCTAAATGACCCACAGGATAAAGTGGTCACCACCCAGTGGCTGATCAAGATCATTTCCTTAGCTCTGTTCCCCAGTCTTATTATTATTCCCGGCAGTACGTTCTCTGGCCATCTGTTTAATTAATGACCAGAACCACTGAGTATAAAGCAAACAAACAAACCAAAAATGCCATTTCCCTGTGGTCCTATCTTGTTTTTGCAAGCAATTCATACACTTTTAATTATTAAAGACTCAAATTTTATTCACCTCTACTATAAATCTCATCGTCTTGACCCAGATCAAATGGAAGCCTCATATTAAAATGCTTTAAGATATCATGCTGACCTCGGCAACTACTGCTTAGAGTCACTATACAAGCGTGATCAGAAAAATCCCAGTTCAACAGAAAATTAATCTAAAAGGTTAGAGACAGGTACATTAAGAAAAATGAATTCCAAATGTGTTAACTGTTAACTTCAGTGTAAATTCTAAATCGAGTTTGTTAGAAATTTAAATCATACTGCACAACAGTAAAGGCCTGCCTGCCTGGTTTGCAAAGCAATGAAAGAACTGAATACGTTGTTATGCTCAGTAAGGCTCATTCTTCTCCAATATTTAGCTCTCAGCTTGGCAAGGATATAACACCAAGAACAACAGGTCTGCCCATTAAACAGGAGGCTCAATAAATCTTTCATTGTGATTCCTACCGCTTGACTGTTCAAGGAATCCTGGCTTCACTGCTAAAGATGCTTTATCACACACTCGGCTGGACCGCCAGCCACTGTTAGTCTTACAGGTTACGTGAGAGGCAAGGACATTAGAAGTCTGCACCATTCAAAGAAGCCTTGGTGCACCGGCAATGCTTTATCGCCTCAATCTGGAAGCTTCTCCCTTTAAAGACAGTCTGTGGTTACTTTACGGTAATAAAAAATCCAGGAGAAAGATGAATTTAAAGCTGTTGTGGACTCTCCTACAGAATCAGGCAAGATGTATCTAAAGTGTTGTAATAATAAAGGAAATTTGAAAAAACTGAGAAATTGCTTCATTAAATACTTTCTTCACATTTGTTAACCTATTAGAAAAATGGATATCATCAATAGCTATAAACATATTTGAAAGAACTGATTTATATGCCAATGAGTAACTACTATCCTTACCTCCTGCTTTTCTGCACCTTCACAGACACATTCAAACCATTCCGACATGGTATCAGTCTGGCTTTGATACTGTACTAACCTCTACACAATAAAATAAGCCTCCCTCCTTTGTTGCATCTTCCATTTCTCGTTAATTTGACTAAATAATGACTAAAATAATAAAAATAAACAGCCTTTACTCATTGTCGCAGTAAATACATTTTTGAATACTGGCTTACAAGATCTTTCCAGGCCTGAAAAATTCGGTTTGCAGGTATTTGGGAAGGGCTGTTAAACACTGTTAAATCACAGAAATTCCAAGATGGAAACCAATCAATTGATGACTTGCAGACAGCTTTGTTATATCACAAAGCAGGCACAGAGTATGAGTGCGTTTGGCACACATCTGCCGTTTATTGTGCATCTTACAGAACTGCCACAGGAAAGCAGTGAGCCGTCAAGACCCACTGTGTGCCGTAATGCAGTATCCCCCTCATTAGTATGACTGCGTCGCATGAACTAACACTCATGCAGAAATAACAAGCCTGAACTCTGAGAGCCCTAAATATTCATTATGTAACACTTTTTTGAAGCTGAACACAGAAGCACATGCAACATGTAGATCCAAGCTGATCCAAGGCACATCAAACCAACCACTCTGTTAACCAGCTAAGATCACAAATAAAAATAAACACCCCACTGCATCCAAAGTCCACCCAGCCTGACCTGGAACAATGTTTTCACTAGAAAATTACTTTCTAAATTAATCTTATTCTACACATTTTCACACCGATGCACGACAATGTTCTTGTTGAAATATTTCAGCCCCCTGAGGCTGAAAGGCACACAAGGGACAGCTGGGGCAGGCACTGCTCACTTGCACTTCACAGTGCAGCAGTGATAGCAGAGGCAGGGGTGAAGACTAAAATAGGAGCTCAAGTATTAAAACATAAGTCTGCACCTTGGCCCCATGTTTCTGTAGTACTTCCATGACGTCGTTGTGGGCTCTCTCGGCTGCCACGTGCAATGGGGTCATAAAGCTGTGGGGAGAGAGACATGTCAGCATGTCAGGAGAGCCCGCAGGGAGTGCACGGGTCAAAGCAAGAGGAAAGCCGAACCCCGGCTACGGCGCACTCACTCCTTGTTCTTCTCGTTGACATTGGCGCCCTTCCGCAGCAGGAGCTCCGTCACCTGCTTCCGCTTGGGATGCGGTGAGGCGACAGCACAGTGCTGAAATCAAGGGAATTGATGCACAATTATCGCAGACTATTCTCACAGGTTGTTCTTTATACATAACGCCAAACAAAAAACAAATTGTCCCTTAAGTTAAATTGGGAGTTCACAGGTTAATTATGCAATGATCGATACTATCAATACACACATCCATCTATCACTGTATGGAAAACAACCACCATGGCCAGCCACATTTATACAGGAAGGTCATGGCTGTGTCCTTAGCATTTCTTACCAAAGCAGTTTCGTGGGACTGTGGGTGTTTGAAGTTGATGATTTCCAAAGCAAGAGTTTTCTTCACCTTCGCCATATCAGCCTCACGTGCTGCCTGAAGCAATGAATGACCTTTGAATTCATCTGTGTGAGACAAAGGGGAAAAAAAAGTTAAGATGGCATTTTTCAAATATTTTTAATTTACTCTGTATTGCACTTTAATTTAACACTACTGCTGCATTTCATGCCCAGTATTTCAAGATGGCTTCCAGAAACTAATGAAAAATATTACAAATACAGAACACTTACAAAAAAAATAAGATTACATGTAGCTAAATAACAGCATAATATGCGTCTCTGCCAAGAGATACTAAGCAGCCAAAAATACTTTACACTTCTTATTCCCAGTAGGCTGAAAAGGGTAAGTGCAGGCATGTTTGGTCGGAGCCCTTTCACCACACTGCAGGATATAAAAAGATGGATGTCATGTGCCCACATAATGAAAATCGATGACAAGAACGTGTGCACAGGAAGTACATTCTCATTGGTTGTTTGGCCAGTTTATACCATGATCTCAATACTCCACATACACCCCACCACAGATGGACTTCAATGTCTTTCTAGGTTTGTCAAAAACTATGGTTGAGCTACAATTTAAAAGAACTCTACACTTCATTCTTTATTTTCAATTGAACCTGTGCCAGCTACATTAACTAATCCCCACACAATCACAAGATTCCATCCTGAATGTGCTGTGTGATCCAACAGCTATATTAAGATATAACATGGAATCCAAGACTTTTTATATTTGATTATACCATACATTTAATTTAAAAAATGGCAAAGATGTACTTGGGGTGTGCCTCTTACATGAGGTGTGTACAGTATGTACGTAACCGAAAACCACAGCAGCAATCCCATAATTCTAATTTTGTAGTTATATGTTACCACAAAGAATGTACACAACCATTTAAAAGTAAAAATTATGAACAGGGATAATAACACACTATCACAGTTATTATGCACAGAATCTAGAAGTGGTGGAGCACACCAAAGTAAGTTAAGAGATGAGCACAACTTAACACTACAGGCAACGATGGAAAACTTTTTTCATTAGGATTCACATTTCAATACAAAGGGCTGTTTTACTATTTGCAGATTTAATACCGGCTGCATTTCACTTACCTTATAAAAAAGGAAATGCCTTGCTAGATTAAAACAGATTAGAATACAACTGAATTGAACTGAAATGTTATTCACTTCTCACTCTATAAAATTCAAATAATTAAATGTCTCACCCAGCCTTAGAGCTGCATAGCACATTTGTAATTGAATGTGGTTGCATTGGAGTCAATTTGTGCAAAGTCTAATTTTTCCAATGAGACCAGTAAACTACAGCTTTAGCTTGCTTATGTCTTGCAACAGAAAAAATAGCAAGCACTACAAGGTATCTATTTGACATACACTACCTTGCCTGTGTTTATCTAAGGGTTGGAAAATATTATAAGAATAATCAGAAAATGCATTGTATATCAAGAACAAACCTTGTCAGCAGTCATTTTGCAGTTTGCCCAACCTATAAAAGTAATGAGGGTCAGGGAACAAGGGCAGTGTCTGCCAATTTAATCAATGTATTATAAAATGGTCAATATAGGAAAAACTATCAGAAGACTTATAACACCTTTTGTAAATGTGGTTCTGGTTATTTTTCCAGATATATGGCAAGTACAAACACAGAATTATGTATTTTTTTAGTTTTCAATTACTGTCATGTATTGAGACGATTTTGCAAAACATTTGTCTGCAATTCACAAAAAGATTTCTTCCATGCAAAGGCCATTAGGTTACAAAAGTTACCCACCTATACTACTATATAAACATTTTAAAATGAACACAATTGTTTTTGAACTTCTCTAATAAGATTGTGTTAGCAGATGTAAAAAAAAATGAATTAGCAAGCCATGTCAATTTAATTTTATATTCCTTTGTCCTCAAAGCCCCAAAGCCCTCTGTAACCATCAATTAAGCATTCCCCTCTATAATTCGCAGAAGCAGCACTGTAATGACAGCTGTCAAAGGGGCTCAAATTTAACAGACACTGGTGATATTAAAATTATTGCTTCTGGCAACTGCAATTATAATAAACCCTCAAGGTGGATTTAATATTAAACATGAGTGAATATTAAATACATAATTCCATTAGAACTGCAATGGGATTTTTTAAACCTAAGCTGATTCCTTTGTAAATTACACATTGCCCAATCACTATCTGCAAACATGCTTCCACAGATATAGGACTGGAAGAGTAAGATCTGACTGATTTCATAAAGCAGTAGCCCTTCATAGTAGCCTACTGAAATGTAGACTCACTTATAGGGTGATGCCGATCAAAATGATGCTGATAAGGAAAAGTGGATAACAGCCTTTTACTACATTACAGTCTACTTTGACTTAAATTGAAATTGGATTATTTTAGATAAGGCTAGCTATATAACATACATATAAATAAAAGAAAAATGGGGTACCCACAGTGGTGCAGTGAAAAAAAATTTCTGCCTCATAATTCTGGGGGGCCCTGGGTTCAATTATGGACCTGGAATTCCAGGCCAGGAAACTGTGGGGCAACCCTCAGCAATGCTGGTGTCCAATCATCCAGCTGTGATGACTGGAGCCAAGTGCCTTGATCAAGTTTATGACCACAAGGTCCACTGCTTTGCAGCTGGGAGTCCAGAGGGTTAGCTACTTCTCTGCACTACCAGCCTCTTTCATAAGGATAAAAGCAAACCTTTAGTTTTAGCTCTCATTGGAAAGATCATTTTTCTTCTCTTCACGCAGCGTAAGCATAACTACAAAGTAACTACATCAAAAAAAATCTTTTAAAGCACAATCCGGTGTAGCTCATTTCAACATTTATCTTCCATAGTGCAACCACAGGGAATGGATATCAGTGCAACTAATGACCAACGCACTGCCTGAATTTGAAATATATAGACCATCATTCTTGAATACACAATACCATACACACCGTACGGCACATAAGGCCCGGCAAAGCTCCTAAAAAGCCCTGCTGTTATGCACAGGAAACTAAAGCATGGGAATGGGAGTGGGGCGATTTTTGCTTACAGGTGAGCCGTTCCTTCAGCTCAGGCGTGGGGGCCATGTCGACGGCACTCTTGCCATGGCAATTGACCAGGGTGGGGTCCGCGCCATGGCTCAGCAGGAGGGAGCAGACCTCCACTCGGTTCTTGGAAGCGGCTTCATGTAAAGGTGTGAACTGCCAAAGGTCCATGGCGTTGACACAGGCTCCATGCTGGGGATGCAAATTAAGATACAGCTCAGCAAAAAGCACAGGCAGGCTTGTGAAATGAAAGCTGTTTAAAATATGAATACTTCTCTGTCTGTGCTCCTACTAAACTCAAAAGAAACAGGGCAATATGTTTTTCTTCAAATCATATGCCAGGAATACAATCTCACGGCAATGAACCGCTGCCTTATGAACTGCCATGAAAGATTAATGGATATTATACAGCTATGCAGAGCCTGACACGGGCACAATTTCTATCAGTTGTCGTCGAGTGTGAAATTACCAGTGACAGTACGAGCCAACAAGTCCGGAAACATTGGAGAGCACCTTAAAACTGCTACAAAGATGCTGTACAAAATCTGACTTTAGTGCTAATCAAGGATTTGTAACAAACATCAAAAGATGTACAAGGCAAGGGAGAAGCTCAGAAGACTGCCACAGTTTGTACGCTGTTATGTGTTGGCGACTCTAAAGCTTCTGATCTAATGGATCATGCACGGCACACTGTGATGACGGGATAATTAACACAACCTCAGGACACCTTTGTGCAACAAAATATAGGCCTGAATCATGTCTGTCTGGAACCTAAATCTACACTTAATGAGCACAGAGGTTTTGAAGGATTTGCTCTTGGAAAACAGCAGTTTAAATACATAAAAAATTCTGCGTGTTGAATGTTTCAATGTGTTTTAATGGTGTAAAAATCATACTATGTAAATATTAAATACTGCTGAGGGCTTCCAGCTATTTTAACTGAAAACTCAAAGTCACCAATATGTCCGTTGCACATAAATATTTCTTCCTTTCCAATTTATTCTGCTTCTGAAAGTATTAAATATTAAAACACAGGAATATTTTGTTCTACGTTTTGGATAAATGCTATAAATTAACTTGTTTCTAAATATCTAGCGTCACACTAAAACATCTTTCAAAGAAGAACTTATTTTTTAGTTGCCTTGTCATTTTCACTTTTTACTCAGGCCAACATATTTCATCACACAAAGGTTTTTTCCTTTTTCTATATCCCTGAGAGGAATTATATAATAGCACAAGGATATTTCACACCTGAAAAGAAATATGAAATGGTCTAAGGAACCCTTACTAGGCACTATTGCCTAGTCTTGAGGACCATGCAAAGCTCTGTCCTGTCTTACCTTGAGCAGTAGCTCTGTCACCTCATAATGTCCATAGGAACAAGCATTGTGAAGGGGAACAAGACCACTGCAAAACAGAACAATGGATAGGTATCCATGAATTAATGGGTGAGATGCAGAACTGGCAACACTATACCATGCTTCAGATCTTGAGAACCATGACTTTGTCTAGCCCTGACATTCCTCCACCTCTGCTTTCTTTTCTGGCAATCCAAATCTCCCACATTAACACATTCACAAAGTACAACTGATATCAGATGAGCTCTTTATTATAATTGCCAAGCAAAGTGTGGTAACAGACACTGCATTTAGAAATTCTGCACACCCCAATACCCCCAAGAGGCATTAAAACACAGTTCTGCTGAGCACCTCCACAGTAGGTAGAATCATCAGTGCAACATTTACATGAGCTGAGAAGGACTGGAATCACTCAAAAGGACAGTCATCAACTGACTGCTTCGATATGTGGGACACCCAAACACATCACGCTTTCCTGAGCTAACTTTCAAACGGTAGTTTTAAGATCACAATACAGAAAACAACAGGACTTTAAGCTTGACTTCTCTAACGTGCTTCATGTCTAATAATCCTAGACCCATTTCAATCAACCAAAAAAAGAAAATCTGGTGTTTTTCAAATCCTGCTAACTGTACAGGCAGATTTGGCTCAACTTGTGCAAACATGCACATTAGCATAGCTTATAGCTAGCAGTGTCATGTTGCCTAGTAACAAAGTGATCGAATAAGCTGTGGAAATGTCAAACGCCACGGTGGATTTTATTCAGAATAAAAAGGAAAGACATTTAAATATAAAATGTTTAATGTTATTAAATTAGAAGTTACCAGGCTTTACACACTCATTCAAGTGGATCATGAAACCCTTTTTAGTGCAGGATACTGCTCCAATGGTTTCTTTTAGTGCATAAACCATGATTAAATGTGTACTGCAAGCACATATGAGCAGGCAGAATTTAATCAGTATAATTAAATTGGCAAAATAAAGTACCTATATTAGCCTTTTAGTTCAAGCCAATATAAAAAATAAAGAGGCTTTTTATTTACAAAAAGCAAACAAGGCAAATGTAAACAATGCAAAGGGGGTGGAGCGAGGGTGGCAAGGCCCTTAACCCCAGCTGCTCCAGGGGCGCTGTATAAATGAGCAAGCTGGGGTATGCGAAAAACAAATTCCTAATGCAAGAAATTGTATATGGCTAATAAAGCGATCTTATCTGATCTTAATCTCCTATCTTACTGATGTTCTGCACCTATATATTATTGTCAACTTGTGCAGTGTCGCCATGTGGTATCATTATTTTTTATTTGTTTAGTCAATGTGAGGTCTTTAAAGCTATATTAATAAGTCCAGAATTTTGATGAATCATTAAGTAAAAAGTATTATAAATTTTGCTAAAAACAGATATGACAATTATCTAAAATTAATCTCTTGACACTCCATTCTTAAATCAGAGTTCAGCTAAATTTGGCTTTTTCAAATTTGACCATTTTCTTTTTTGCTTTTTAACCATATTCTATCTGGTTACTGGTCAACTGTAAACAAAGCAAAGTTCACAATTTTACATATATAGTAGTTTAAACAATCCTGTTGGCTTATATACAGTTTCGTACATCTTATGATTAAACCTGTCTCAGGGTTCTTTTCTATGCATCTGTTTTCTATATAGCATTGAAACAGACCATCAGGAATACATACACTGCTCTGCATGTACAGTATTAATAAGTATTAATGTGCTTAAACATTCAGTGCCTAACTACTTCCTGGGGTTGGCCAAGTCTATGTTAAGCATGAATTTACATTCCGAAATGTGCTCAAACATTTATACAGTAACATTCAGAATTTATATAGCAGTACAGATGTAACTTGCAAAATGAAAATGATGCAGACAGAACCAGCTGTAGAGCTTCTTGTCTGTTTAGTGTTGTTTCAAGAAAATGATACAGAAAATAAATAAAATCTGTTGTTTTTAATGCCCTTTATTTATTCTGTAAATGGTCATCCTTGGCAACTGACCTGGTGCTTCCAATAAGGGGCAAAGTAAAAACATGTAATACATTTAAATTACTGCAGTAACTTGACTTTACATTTTGTATTTTATAATAGCCTGCTGTGAGATGTGACACAATGTCATGTACTTTCATTATTTGTGCCCATGGGTTCCTAATAAGTGCCAGTCTCAGCAAAGGTGAGACGAGGCAAAATGGAAAAAGCATTCTTGATCAGCAGTGTGCGAAAAATGAATATTCAGTTCATCACTGGTATAAAATTGTTTTGAAGAAGTCCATATTTCTTAAAAATAAAGAAAAAATAGAAAAGAAAGAGAAACAGAATAAACATAAGTCATAGAGAGGTGCGACTGGAGCACCTGAGTTCTGGAATATGATCACCACAGAAATTAATATGATTTCTTTCTGCAAACAGATATAAGTAGTGAACACTTTCAGATTTCTTTTGGGGTGGTGGTGGTGGTGGGGGGGGGTTCTGTAATACTGGTGAGCATTTGTTTTACTCCATCAGAAATTTGACTCTTCCAAATTTGACTTTTCCATGGCTGTTTACCGAGAATGTTCTCACTCCCCAAGGATAGCAATGCTCTAAAACAAATGGAAAAGTTGCATGGCTACGCACCCCTTATCCTTGGCGTGCACGTCAGCTCCGTGCTGCAGAAGGAGCTGCACAATTCTTACTCGGTTATATCCGGCTGCCAGGTGGAGAGGGGTGGACTGGAAAAAAAAATAAAAACCATTACAGAAGCAAGAAGTGACTTAGTCATAGAAGATCAAACAAAACAGCTCCTCAAATGGAGCCAAATCAGATTGAAGTCATTAGTGGTTTTTTTTGTTTTAGATAGTGCAGCACCTTTTCTGTAATGCATTAAAACAACATGAAAAATCACAGCACTAAATGTGAAGCGTATCCCTTCCGTATCCCTGCCAGAAAACGATGCTTGACTACACGTGCTGAGCGTGAATCTCAGACTTTTGCCTGTTTGCGTGGGTTGCGAGAGCTCTGCCTCTACAGAATGGCTGAGAGACACCAAAAGGAGCTCTTTTCAAAAATATTAACCTTCGCATGTACAGCTGACAAACCGCACATTCAAACTAGCCGAGAATGAACCTGTCAACTTGAACCAAGGCAAAGCATTCTGTGCCCTCCTTACAACTTTAAAGTGGAAGAAACGTTTTAAAAAGCACATCAAAACTTTTCACTTAAAATAGCTTTGGCAGAAGTTAAGAAGGAGCAGGGATTTCTCCCTTCTCAAAAGCATGCAAGAACCATTTCCAGAGAAGCCTTGAACTCAACAGCTGCAAAGAGCTAAGAGATGGCTTCTTAAACTGTTAAGGCAGGTTGATTTGCAGCAAAATGCATGTCATTGAATTTTCAAGCAAGATAATCCTAATGGCATTAATAGACGAAAGCAAGAAAGGGGGTTAAATCCTCTAAAATATTTTAGAACAGTTTGCCTGCTCCTGCATCATTTTCAATTAGGTATTTTTTTCAGCAGAAATGGGAACCAGATGAGGAGCTGCCTGTTGTTAAGAGTGAAAGTTCACAGCAGTAGTTGATGCATTAACTTCTAGGCGACCTTTGGAGACCAAGCTTTATGGTACACAACGATACTGCACTTTTCTAATTAAAAGACAACATGAGCAGCTTAGCAACAGTATAATTCATAGACGTAGATGTTAGCGATACGTGCACTGGATATAAGACAAAATAACTTCTGCAAGGGAACAGCATAGCAAACAGACAGGGTGGGCTATGAGGTCAATATGGCTACAGAGAGAAAGTGCATTCAAAACAAGGTGCAAATCACTCCAGAAATTACTGCAGAATCATTCAGTGTGCCCAATGAAGGAGGAGTATTAAGAAAAAAAGTGAGAAATCACAGAAAACGTGTAATGAGCGAGCATTAAGTTACAGCCGCTTAAACAGTACAGTGATTCGTTCTGTTTTTTGTTACATTGTAGACTTATGAATTAGAACACCAGAATCATTTCTAGCCAACATGAATTGGATTAAAAACTGTATGACTTATTGTGTTGGACAATATTTACAAAATGCAGAACAGGCTTTGTGCATGCATATTTGTACAAAAAAATTAAAAAGAAGAGTGGCTCAAGCTTTTGGGGTGGGAAAGTGAGATCACTTGGGGTTAGGGGGGTGTAGATTGGGGGGGGCAGTGTTTTCTCTTCCATTAGAGCAGGCAACAACAAATTTGAAATCCTACATGAAGGACAGAACCTCTTATAAACCCCACCCACCCCAACACACCAAGCAGGAGCATTGGTAGATGGAATGTGGCCACAGCAAAAAGTCCCCGGACCATTTTGTGCGTGTAAGAAAGTCAGAGCCAGCTTGTTTGTAAATTAAAAAAAAATCACAATAGTGCATCAATCTAAGAGCTGTTATTTAAAATAAACTTACCAGCATTTTTTGGGATGTCGACTGATAGACAATGTCGCCAGAATCACAAAAAAAACAAACAAAAAAATGATAAAATGATAGCATCATGTTATTATCTCAAAGATAGAAGGCTCTTACTATAGATGTATATAGCTTATTTTTTTAAATCTTCACAAACAATAGTTAAAAAAATATTCAGTTTGTTCTTCTTATAATTTAACAACATTGGAAGCTTTCAAGAGATCAGGTGGCCACAAGTTTACTATCTGAGCAATCACCTGTTCATGCCAAAAACAATATGCTGTCTATTAGAATTGCTTAAATTTACAAAATGCTGCTTTGTTGGTTATGACATTTTGGCTGACTGACAGGATGCCACGGTGACTTTTATGCTCTTATACCAAAAGCTGTTACTAAATGCAAGGGTCTCAGGATACATCCTTAAAAGAAAAGACAGTTAAGCTACTAAAATGTACAATAGTACATCTTTAACTCTGTAGTCTCATTAAAACTTGAGGGCACCTGCAAGACAACTGCAATGCCTTTAAAAGATGGCTGGAAAGCAGCTGAGTTCAGTCAGCAAGCTAGGATAACTGTCCATCACCCAGCAATGCCTTACAATTTCATACTGACCAGTGCATTAAAGTGCTTGAAAAGCACTTCTGCTTTTCAGTTGTCTGGTCTTGGTATCATCTGATTAGTCTCAAAGACAGCTCCTCTGATTGTTGAGCATCACCTGTTTTATTCGGCCACTGTTCTCTTGAGTAGAAAAACTAGAAATAATGCACACTTGCACATATGTGCTTAAAGCAGACCATTTAGCACATCAGACCACATAACTGCTTATTTCCAATCTCTTGAGATCTGGGCATCCTAGTGCATTTTACAAAAGGTGTTGTAAGCAATTGAGTGTATGCTAACAAACTACTTTTTCAGCTCACTATTACAAACTATAAATGAACTCAGACTTTCTTTTCACCCATTAAACTAATTTGTAGATATTAACAAAGCTGTAAAACAGCAGGGAAAGGTGGTCAGTTAAATGTATATTTTAATAACTGGATGGCTAAGAACATTCTATGGAGCAAAAGGGCAGAACATCCCCTAACAAACACATTATACAAGCTAATCATCCTTATACTAATGTATAAACTACCAGTGGTTCCATATTAAACAGAGTTAAATCAGGATATGTGATAAGGAAAACTAAGCTGAATTTACAAACAAAAAGTGGAATGATTCAAAATGCCACCGTAATGATGGACTCACTCTCAAAAAGAAAGATGATAGATTTTAAAAACTTCATAGTTAAAAAAATAACTGGTATGTAACACCCAACATAGAGTCATGTTAACATTAAGTGTAGGAGTCCCATAAAACTACACTATGCCAAACTTTTAATATTTGCCTTTACATGGCTCTGACATCCAACTGACAGTTCTGTTAAAATTCAACAGATGATTCTCCAATCGCAGTTTTCATTTTATAACATTGTGCAATCGCAATGGATAAACAGCTTCTTCTAACGGACTCCGATATATCTCCTTCCCTAACTCTGTAAGCTCTGAAGCTTCAAGATTGGATTAAAATCTGCAAAAGAAATCAGTAAGACAAATGTATATCGACGTTGAAAACATTTTAGTGTATATAGTACACACTGCTTTTCTATGAAGTACATTTCTCTCACAATTGCAAAGAACACCACACTTTGGGTGTCTAATGAATGTTGACCACAGTTCAGAATTCACTCCACAGAAAATTAACAAGTAAGATCTCTCAAAGAAGGATGGAGAACATTGTAAAGTAGCTCCAAAAGGCTTCTGCTGCCTGTTTGCACACCTGACAAATGCAAAACAGTAATTAAAAGGGTAAGAAAACATGCCTCACATAACTTTTGTGATGCATGCTCTTACACAAGCTAATCTGAGAGTGATTAAAACCCTAACATTCTGACTCAATACAGTACTGATGTGAGTCTTGGAGAGTTTAGATCACTACTTTCACACAGACATGGCAAAATTTACATAGACATGGAAATACAAAAATTCAAATATCAAATTAAAACTTACAGCCTTTATCTTCAGAAAAATAACCCAGCACATTTTGAAACTAAAGTCAGTGTCAAAACACTACAAAATATACATATTTTGTATGCTAGGCATGTTTTATTCTATAAGATCAGAAAGGGCTGATTTAAAATGAGAAAAGGAGTATTTTCCACTTTACTTAAAAAACAAGACAAACAAACTTATTGAAGGGATCACCACATGACACATTTCTTCCAAATCTCCATCAGGAACAATGAGAGATGATTGTAACACAGAGAAATGACATAAAAATCATAAGGGGCAGCAGCAGTTTCCACTGGGGGTCGTGTCAAAATCTGTTACATTTAACCTTTTACAGGCAAGGTCTGAATTATAAGAGCATGAAACTGGACACCAATCTATAGACCAGGGGACATACCGAGTTTTAAAAACACAGTACTGAAGCACCTATATTAATTAAGATTCAAATGACAACTGCTGTAAAAATAATTAAAACTCAAATGTGGTTTTCACATGATATGATGAAACGGCACAAACCCACTCCCGAGACTTTGACTGGACTACAGACAAAGCAGCCTACAACCATAACTGGTACCTTGTTCAAGGAAGCCACAAAAACACACACACAAAAAGAAACGCTTATGTGCACCAGTATCTTGGGCTGATCAATCAAGGTCCTGCGTACAGAGGACTTTCCTTTAAAGAAAAGCAGGAAAACGAAATCTACAATGTTGCTGAAACATCTGAAAGTCGTGATGTAAATTTAGCAGCAGAAAACTCTGCAATATAAGTGCATCATTAAAACTGCACTGCAGCTTCACTTAAAAGAGCAGTAGCATTTGAACTGAACTCAGGCTATAATGTGGGCTTTAGTACACCTAAAAAAAAAATGATGGCACTCGGTGGCTTTTCAACTGTTCCTCAAGTATAGAACAGGAGCTTCTCTGGACACCTTTCCCTTCATAATGAAGAATTTCAGCCGAAAACACAGGCAAACAAAAATATCTACACAAGCATGGAATTGGCACTTAGACTCATGGTCCTGATCTGGCAATGATGCACAAATGCAAGCAGAGAGACTAAGGGGAGGGCACTAAACCAAGAATGCGTTTAATCTTTCAATCCTTCTTTAATTGCTGATCTTCACGATCTTGTGCATGTGTTACCTTTCCTCAACTACCCCCTCTTCGCGCAGCTTGTTTTTTTTTTCCTCTGGAGTTGCAGCAGTTACCATGGCAACAGAAGGATTACGGGCTGACAGCTGTTGCCATGGTGGCAAAATGTGCTTTAACTACCCTAAAATCACAGGGCTTTAACGAAACATTCGCTTTCCCCTGAGTGATTCCGAGGAGATCCCAAATCAACAGAGATTTTAATGCACGTCTTTTGTCCACTTTCCTTTAAGGAAAAGGCTTATGAAAAACACATTAGAAAGTGCAGTCAAAAACAAACACAGCTTGATACATTTGGGTAAGATAAGCCTCCTAAACAATTTCTGTTTCACTCTACCCAGATGAGTTTGGCAGTCTCATAGCAGAATGCTCTTGTTGCCTGAATCCAGATTGGTATTTAATTGCAAAGAAATAAGCTCCCCCAAACTTTTGTACAGATCCGTTTTAGCAGATCTTTAGAAAAACATAGTTGGCTCAGAGTATTTTTACCTCACACACCTGAAATAATTAACAAGATACAAAGCTACAAGTGCATTTTTCACTAAAAGTACAAATAACAACTGAAGACATTATTAACAGGTTTATATATGTATTGATAAGGAGTAGCTAACATTTCAGCAGCCACTAATTGACTTTAATATATAAGATTTAGAAGCATTTCAATGTACAGACAACAAACAATGTTTAGTCAATCGGAATTATACAACATCTTTTGCTATATGCCAATTCAAAATAATTTTGACCTTTAAAATGAATTGATTTAATGGGCAAGGCATTCAACCCGCTTGGATTTTCACAAATTGGCTTGATCTAAGCCCTTTCCGATTGTAATTAATAAAGCTAAAACACCAAAAAGTTGAATTGTAATGCATAAGACTATCAATTAATCTTGAATTTAAGTCTACAAGGAATCTGTTATAACTATAAAACTGCATTTTAAAGAAACCATTTAAATTATGGAACAATACAATTATGGTATAACGCATTAATGCGCATTTTACTATCCTAAAAGGGTTTTCCTACAGGTGGACTGTAGGAATCAGTATCCTGTTTAAACCTGAAAAAATTTTCATTTTTTTCTAACCCCACCTCTCAATATATTGTGCACTTTACAATAAAACCAAATTATTTTTGAACTTCCCTGGCCATACACACGATGCTGGGTGAGTGTCAGTCTGCATTCATTTCCATCATTATCAGGTCCTGAAATCTGGAAAAGGGCTGGGCTCATTATACTTGCTTGGAACACAGTTTGTCATCATATAAGTGTTTTCAAACTAAATTTTACAATGAATATTCTGATCAGCAAGGTAGGCCACTGGATGTTTTAATTTTTAAAATGTGGCTACTATGTTGCCATTAAGAGTAAATCTATCAATATAAAATAAATTTAGAAAAACTAAAAAGATGCATTGAGAGCTGGTTGTAAAGCCTGAATTGACGCTAATTTAGCACTCCAGTATCGCCACTACAGAAAAGACAACACATTCTAATGGGAAAGTCTGAAACCCAGCTATGCAACACAAGTCAATAAGCCTTTTTAAAAAGACATGCAATGACAAAATGTACAAAAGTGCTGCCTTCAATTCAAATCCTTTCTTATTAATTACAACACCATAACACACCTTGCCTTGATCTATAAAAAAGCCTAATTACTCTCTGTATTTTATGACTTGGAGCAGGTGTAAGGGCAGCCGCTGTCATCTTGACTTTTCATCACAATGATCACACCACTCATAAAACTGCTCAAAGCAGTACACCCTGTCTCTTTTGACAGGCTTCGATGGCTATGTGAATCACATTGTGTTGCTCCCAATAATGC